TCGTGTTCCTAACCCTTAGAAGACTTAATCCTTAACATTCCTAAACCTTTCCTGACCCTTTCCACAGAGTATATCCAGTGCTACGTAGTGTTCGTGAATATAATGCACCTCTCACTTGAAAAATAGAATTGATTGATTATATATTGCTAGCATTTCTACATAAAAAGGTTTAGATGCGGGTTAGGCCTATGGAAATGGAGTCCTGACGTCCATGAAGCAGGCTGTTGTCGTTGTTGACAGTAAAAGGTCATGATCATGGTGGTGGTCACATCTGCTATCACAGGGTGTGCGGTGTCACGTGCGTTAGGTGGAGAGGGCGGGCAAAAGACACCGGGGGCGGGAGGGGCAGGAGGAACGTTGGGAAGAAGGTACAGTAGCCAGTTAGAACACAGCTGACATAATTAAACTCCGACTGAATTGAGCCGAGTGGCTGACACGCCCCCAGAGTGGGACCCATACAATACCCCCGGAGTCCATGGCAGAGTTACCCCCAGAGTGTCCATTTCCTGGACGTTCTCACAGCATGTTGCCAATTGCCGATTCCCATGTGAGCCGAAGATCTTGTGTGATGCAACCTTCAAGCCAGACCTATACTGCGTGCACATGAGGGCCACTAGATCTGGAGTCCTCACTTACTTGATTTCCCTTCTAGCTACTTTGTTTCTTCTCGTTGTCCTAATGAGCCACTGCTTCAAGTGCCATTCAACCTGCAGCCGGTTGTTTTCAGCACCAAGTGGTTTAACACGCCACCAGAAAAGTTGCTCCTGTTGGCAGCAGCAGCTGACACTACAGTCACTACATTTCAAACAGGCCGCGGAGGTCATGCAGGAGGAATCCATGGCAAAGAAAATAAAGCTTAGCACCACTCAAGTCAGTCTTCTGTTTTACCCTACCCCAAGCTTCATTTGATGAAACTAGCCTGTTACGGCTGGGTCTTCGCTCAGTGTTATGGCCACATCCCCTAGTAGCAATGATCCCCTTGCGTCACCTGATTCAACCCTTCCGCATAACCCTATCTCACCTTGACTATCAACGGAGCCCAGACTACCTAGCATCTCACAAGAAGTGTCGCAGTCTGAGCCACCTATATCAAATCCTACTCCTGAAGGCACTCGCCCCACTCGGACTCACCGGTTACCTGCGCGATTTAGAGATGAGCCTCCTGTGCCACCACCCCCTGTCCAACAATCACCTCCGCCAACTATTCGCCGAGTAATTCTTCATGTTTTTGACTCTTTGCGGACGTCCGTAAATATATTTGGTATTGGAAGGGAGTACCATCATCGACCATCGCACAACCCGGACACATTTGTGTCTACAGACCAACTATCCAACTTCCGCCCAGATTCGAACCCTGAACCATCTGATGCTGGGGTAGTGTCTTCCCCGGAGCCACCTCCTTGGCCTTGGCGAAACATGAGCATCTGGCGCCTCATGACTTGGATGATGACAGGAAGCAACCAGTTGTCTGAAGCTAAGGTAACTCAGCTTGTCAAGGAAGTCCTATCAGCGGAAGATTTCAGCATACAGGACATGAATGGCTTCAACGCCCACACAGAAATGGGGCATTTTGATTCGTCTGAAGCCGGTCTTGATGACAATGATATCTTCCGAAAGGACGGTTGGAAAGAGACAGCCGCAGAGATTCTGGTGCCGACTAGGGAGCGAAATCCGAGCGGGAATGGACAGTTGTTTACCATACCAGGGTTCCAGTACCGTCTGCTCACAGCCGTCATTCGTGCTGCTTTCTCCGAGGCAGCATCGAAATGGTTTCATTTCACTCCCTTCAAGTGCTTTTGGACGTCCCCTGTAACCAGTCAAGAGCAGTGTCTCTATGATGAGCTCTATATGTCAGATGCATGGATTGGGGCACACGATGATTTGCAGAAGCAGAGGAGAAGTGACGGTTGTCCGTTGGAGAGAGTCATTGCTGGGCTTATGTTTTGGTCGGATTCGACGCACTTAGCGCAGTTTGGGAATGCTTTGGCATGGCCGGTTTATCTATTTTTCAGAAACCAGTCCAAGTATATGCGTGCCTGCCCTACCTCCGGTGCATGTCATCCTGTAGCATTCATTCCTACTGTGAGTCCCCAATCACTACCCGCTACTAGATGGTTATACTAACAGTGGTGTTTTGTAGCTACCGGAATCGATCAAAGGATTCATTGCCCAAATTACCCTGGTTAAAAGGAAGAGTTATGATGACATTCTAGCCCATTGCAAGTGAGAGCTGTTTCATGCTATCTGGCGTATTCTGATAGACGATGATTTTGTCGAAGCATACAAAAATGGCATCGTTGTCAAGTGCTACGATGGGGTGCACCGCAGAGTATTTCCTAGGATATTTACCTATTCCGCAGACTACCCTGAAAAGTAAGTAAAATATACCCCTCCTAATTCACTTTTACCAACTAAGATGCCGTCAACAGAGTTCTTCTTGCAACCATTTGTGATAAGGGTGTTTGTCCATGTCCACGATGTCTCCTCCCAAAATCATATTTTTGGCGCACTGGGCTCGGCGCTGATATGTCAGCACGAGTTTCAAGAGTACGGCAATATCTTGGAGACAAAATCACCGTCGCGCATGATGCCATCTACAAATTAGGCCTCCCTATCAAAGGTGCTGCTGTAGAGCGTGTTCTAAAAGAATTTTCCCTTGTGCCTACCTATGTGAGCCCATTTCATCTTGATAGTTAGATATTTGTTTACATTGCATCTTTAGAATGCCTTTGCTGATCGGCTAGGCCCCCTTGGTTTCAATTTTTTCCCGATACTTGTTGTTGACCTTTTACACGAGTTTGAACTGGGCGTATTCAAAGCCGTTTTCAAGCATCTCATCAGGCTCCTTCATGCCATAAATCCGGAAAAAATAACTGTCCTGAACGAACGGTAAAGACATTCAATTCGTGTGAAGACTACCGATTATATTTCTGACATGGACTTCTCCTCACCATAGCTTCCGCTCGATTCCTTCCTTTGGCTGGGGCGCAATTCGGCGCTTTCCCTCTAGTGTGTCAGATGTGCGGCATAATGCTGCACAGCACTTCGAGGACGTTTTACAGGTTAGTTAGCCTGGTGGACTTAGCCGTTTTCCGCACTCTGACTGTCCACCTCTGAGCAGTGCGCAATCCCTGCATTTGAAGGGTTATTCCCTGCACAGCATGACAATGTTATCCATCTTCTTCTCTTTCGATTGGCTGAATGGCATGCCTTGGCCAAGCTTCGGCTTCACACGGATGATTCGCTAGCTCAACTCGATCAGGCGCTGAATAATTTAGGAAAGCAACTTCGAAAATTTCAGCAGTTTACATGCTCAGCTTTTCAAACTGTAGAACTTCCACGCGAAGTTGCTGCACGTCAGAGGAGATGTGAGACTAACCTACAGTCTACCAATGGGGGAACAAGATCATCGGGTGCTCGTCCCAGGACTTTCAATCTCTCAACCTACAAGTTGCATGCGCTTGGCGATTACGTGGGCTCCATCAGGCTATTTGGAACAACGGATTCATATACCACTCAGGTTGTACGTAGTTGATGGTCAAGTATTTGGCCACCCTGACATTCTGCATTTTACAGGGCGAGCTTGCTCACCATCTCATCAAAATGCTGTATCAACAAACAAATAAGCAAGATGTCTCGAAGCAACTTGCAAAACAGGAAAGAAGACGTACTCGCGTTCGCCAGCAGCGGCAGTGGCAGTCTACAGCCCTCCTCCAGGATATACACACCAGCGACCTACCGATCGAGGCTCACCACTTTATGTCCAATACATCCAACTTTTTGAATCTGTCCGCTTACCTGAGTGAACACCAGGGTGATCCAGCTATTAAGGTAAGACTCGTTAGTCTACCAAGGCTTCACTGCTAACAGAAGCCAAAAGGGCTTCATTCCTAAACTGAAAGATCACCTTCTTTCGCGACTCCTTGGCTTGGACTATGATGGTGATGAGAGGGCCTTCACTGACGCGGAACGAAACAGCGTACACTTTATCAACAACCTTAATAAAGTCTCCCAAGCCAAGCGCCTTCAGATCAATTACACGACCTATGATGTCTGCCGTGATCAAGATACCTTGAAACCAGGTTATGGTGGTGCTGTAATGACTTTGTCGAGAGAACATGGCGACGACGCTCATCCATTTTGGTATGCTCAAGTTTTGGGTGCTTTTGGCATACAGGTACTCCATGTTGGCCCTGAGGTTCGTAATCGCTCGCCCCAATCAATGGAGTTCCTGTGGGTTCGATGGCTCGGTGTAGTCCCATGTTACCGCTGGAGCATGAGGGAGGGCCATCTCCCAAAAGTTGGATTTATACCAGACTCACCCTCTGCATTCGGTTTCCTTGATCCCTCCATTGTTCTTAGAGCCTGTCATCTTATACCCTCCTTCGCTGATGGTCGCACGGATACTCTCCTTCGGTATGGCCCAACTGTTGCGCGACTGCTTGGAGAAGTAAACGACTGGACTGCATTCTACGTTAACATGTGAGTAATTTGACCTTGTTGATATTCCTGTCGATAATGGATTGGCATATATAGTTTCGCCAATCGAGATATGTTCGCTCGTTTTGCGGGCATAGGCATTGGCCATGTAGCCCAGTACAACCTGTCGAAGGACACGGAGCCCGAACATGGACCAGGAGGCTGCGATGATGAATGGGACATTGACATGTCAAACACAAGCGGTTCGATGCTTGACTCCGATGCTGGAGACTGTCAAAATCGAACTCAAGGCGAAGACGATGACGAGAATAATGATGACGAAGATGAAACCGAAACTGAAACTGAAACCAAAGACGATGATGATGATGATGATGATGATGAAGACGATGAAGACGACAAAGATGCAGACAGTGACTCGGAAGAATACGAAGACTCAGAAGATGAAGGGCTGGAATACAAAATTTGAGATCAATTCTCGGGAGGATGAAATGCCAAGGCAAGCAATGCATTTAGATTGGGATGGGATGCTGTGCAGTCATACAAAAACTGATGAAATTTATCTAGGACGAATGCCTCAATCCCAGTAAAACTTCCAACTGCGTCAACACCATCTCCAAAATTCTTCGCTCTCTTGCAATCCAAAGCACTAGGAACACCGTCTCTTCGTCTGTCCAAACCGGAGGCTCGACCATGTCGAGCAGTTGCGTGTCGCTGTGTAACGCCTGATTGGCTCTTGTGCACGCGATGGACATCGTCTCCCAGATTACGGCCTAATAATTTCAGCACATCACATTCGAGGGACGTCAATGATAACACGTACGAGTAAGCGATCCGGTATTTGAAAGTTGCGCGCCCTTGCAATTTGGGGCAGGGATGCTCTCTGTATCTATGTAAGTAGTCAATCAACTGTATAGATGCGATTGACTTACGTTGTTTTCATTGTTATTCAGTCCGTTGTTATTCTGCATGTTCGACGCGTTAGACATGATGATGCGGCTCGCAAGGACTTGGTAAATGTTCGTACATATTAGTCATCCAAATATCTGTTACAGTATCTGTGCTACTCGCTCATTCATCGTAGTGTTCCCTCGATCGAGACCATTCTTACTTAAATGGAATATTTAACATGTATATTTTGTAGGTAGAGAATACAGCTTTTCGCTATTGTCATCCTACTGGGTGTATGCCTACAACAACATGTCATTTTGACATGATCTTCCTATCATTCGGCATTAATATATAGTGTTAAACAATTTTGACGCATAGATTCCAAATCTTGACCACAAGCTTAGAATACGACATGGGATGACAGTGATTTATCAAAATGGAAAATTTAAGACGAAAAGGCGAAGGCACCGTAGTATGATTTGTGTTTGAGATACGCAGGGCAAAACTTTGAACATTAGCTCAGAATTCGATATGCTCTTATATTGATTCATTGAACGCAAACGCAGATGACAATCAAGCTCGTAGATCAGGCATATGATGCTTGATAAATAGGTTAGTACATTGGCATATAAGGGCAACGCACATAATACAGCAACATTCACCCATCTCAGACGGACAGCCGAGTGTGACAATGTACCATTGGGAACGGGCCATCCCATGTGGGCCCATGGACATAATTGTACCATGATATACGAGTGGGCCGGATGAATGTGTGTACCCAAGACATACGGATGGGCTGAGGGTACATTATATAGACAGTGGTATAGGAATGTATTAGTATATAGGACATTATAAATGCTAATTCCTGTTTACATTGGAGACGAGTGGGCCGGCCGGATGTGTGTACCCAAGGTAAACGGATGGGCCGACCATATGAGTGGGCTGAGTGAATCTGTGTACCCGACGCATAAGGATGGGCCGAGAGCATACATTATAGATAGTGATATAGGAATTTACTATTATACATGACATTATGGATGCTAAATCCTGTTTACGATGGAGACGAGTGGGCCGGCCGGATGTGTGTACCCAAGGTAAACGGATGGGCCGACCATATGAGTGAGCTGAATGAATCTGTGTACCCGAAGCATACGGATGGGCCGAGAGCATACAATATAGATAGTGATATAGGAATTTACTAGTATACATGACATTATTAATACCAAATCCTGTTTACGATGGAGACGAGTGGGCCGGCCGGATGTATGTACCCAAGGTAAACGGATGGGCCAGGGGTATATAGTATAGACTGGTACAGGAATCTACTCGAATAGTGAATCTGGTGTAAAATGGAAATGACTGAGCTGGACGAATGATATACACCGGAGATCCGGTCATATTATCATCCGGCAGGTACATCAATATTTTCACTGGCCTATGATCCGGTGCAGGCAAATATACGATCCAGTAGGTGATGATCCGGTGTATCTATGATCCGGTGCAGGCAAATATACGAGCCGGTAGGTGATGATCCAGTACAGGCAAATATACAATCCGGTAGGTGATAATCCGGTGCATTTGTCACATCTCACAAGCCTGTTGTCCGGCATATCCACTATCATATGCTAAAAACATTGCACAAGTGAATATCAATCGGAGTAGACTAAAATATTCATCATCACATGTCTAGACATCTTTCTGCTCAACCGGGTCACTGCGTTGTACATTGCCATATTTTGCATAGTCTGTCCTTGGAGTTCCAACAAAATTATGGATACTATCTCGCATGTACCACGCAGTGACAATCCGGCTACCCTGTTCAACATGCATGTGATGTCTGACAAGGCGACATGATGAGGCCAACATTGACCCGGAGTCATATAGAAACTTGATGCCGAGATTCATGAAATCCATTATGACCGGATGATAAATGCCTGCGGTTGTCATAATATAAAATGCCTCCGGTCGACATTTTGGATCTCTATGAGGTGGTGACCGGCGATTGCAAATGACTGACACTACATTGAAGACAGATGCCCAATGTTTGAGATGATGGCACATGTCTTCTAACTGATACTGGGTCGCCCATGCACCGAGCCTGACTTGAGTTTTGATTCCAGCCCGATATAGATCTGGGTGCATGACCCGAAGTGCAGCAGGGACAAGGATACCGGATCTTTGAAGGGAGGTTGTGATATTGTGACCAACATCACCTTTCAATGCAGCGGATACCTGAGGTGAGAAGCCATCTTCCGGATCAAGTTTTGGGAAACCATGTTTCTACAATACTTTAGACTAGCAACATCAATTGATGTGAACCGGACATACCTCTCTGCCTTGCTGAAACCAGGCGGGTGATATATTGATGCAACCGGGTGTGATCTTCCCATCCGGACTCGGATAGAAATTGGACTCATGGGTCCTCCATTCAGTAGCCTTCCTGGTGGTGATGCTATCATTCAACAGATGTCCTATGGAATTCGTGGCGGATTGCATGTCTGTCTGTGAATATTGTCATATACATCCGGATGAGATGAAATAAGAAATGAATGTGGATATGAGACAAACCATTATCATGCCAGTCATGGCTCCGGGCAAATACCAGACAATGATTCTGCCTCCGGAATCAATGATGACACTCGGTGTTCTTAGGACAACCTGTTCTGCAGGAGGGAATTTGTCTAAAAGAGTTTGCTCTCATTTCTCGCTTCGTCCGGATTCATATTTTTCCAGAGATTCATTGTATCTAACCATGTCAATTTTGAGATGAACTGTTTGCAAGTTACTCGACCGGCACAGATATATGCGAGAATGCATACCAGGATTGAAGTAAGCAACGGCCAGGACATTGGCAAGCTGCTCCAAATCAATACAAGTGTCGACATCTAAAAGTCCAACACTCATTGGCTTTACCAGTTGCCGATGAATTTTGGACATGAAGGTGTCATAAACCAATTCACCGGCAAGGTAGGTCTGGTATAATGCCCAGTCCGGTGGAATTGTTGTCATGTGTTCAGGAAATCAATGAGTGGTTAAAGTATGAGGAAAGAAAAGAAGTGTTTCATGAATCCGTAACCAGATAACAATGAGCAGGAATCCGGGTCACATGCAATGGACCGGATTTCATCTTCGAAAATCACCACCCATTCACATTGCATTTTAATATACATGGGTATAACATATCTACTGAAGGCTTCCAGACGTCAGATTGGGCTTGACCGTACGGATTCACTGGCATCTGTATTCAACCGGTCCATTAGTGATTGTGAGGACGCCACAGCCCTAGTGAGTTCAGCAACCGGCCCAACTACTCCGGCCAACTTATCACTTGAACGTAAAAAGTTTGTCATCCTTCTCTGCAAAATTTCCAACAGCTCTCTACCGATTGTCGTCTGATGGCACCGCTCAAGAGATGCTGATCCGACCGTTTCCGGTTGACGCACCGGGCCATGTGTGAGCATATATGGGAGGAGGTCGGTTTCCACATGATCCGGCTATTACAATGCAAGTAAGATTTAGTGAGGATCCGGTGTAGGAGGTCAAGATCTCATGGACTCACGAGTTCTGAAAAATGGCCCTCAACCAACTCCATCACATCTTGGACAGATGATTTTGGCAACATGTCCGGCACCCTGCAAGAGCCCAGGTTCTCCTTCCACCAGGCATTGAAGTAGTCTGACATATGAGCAATGTCATATTCATCTGATGTGGCGGAATTGACAGAAAGAGGCAATGCTTTGATATCCATGAGGACCTCATTCACATCCGGTTTCCGGTCCACCAATTTATTCACAACCAAAATTGCAATCACATTGTGGAGAAGTTTTGGAATGGTAGCGGAGCACCTGGTCAGGAAGGATATGTTGATGAATGGAGTTACAAAAGTCTACATGACAGGCGACATGATTTGAGTGCAAGATAAGAATTGACCGGTTGACCGGACACCCGGACAACCGGACAACTGGATGCTTACCTCCATTTCCCATTGCATGAGGGTGTAAAATTTTTCTGCATAACCGGGCATGGCGGTGGCAAAGCTCTTGTCAACATACAGGTGCATGGCCAACAAGCGAGAATTGGCATAGAACAAAGCACGAGAAATCTGTCCGGCGGTGATCTCACCATCCGAGTAGGCCACAATGATTTGATCAGAGGGAACCAAAGTGGCGGCATTGTTCATGGTGAGTGTATGACGATGATGTGATGGTGAGACTGACAGTTTGTTTTATTCCCACATTTTCAATATAACTACATATTAGCTAATCCGGGAACTATTTTAACCGGTACCGGAACTATGAACTAACAACCGGTACTTCCGGCTGAATGACCGGAATCACTTTCTGAAAAGACTCCGCTGCATGTGCAGCTAGTTGTCGATATATGTGACATTGTCGGGCAGCATAACACGCATGTCCGGTTAGCCCAGTGTAAGTGGCATTGTCCATGAGACTTAGCCATTGCTTGGCCTTGTAGGTAAAGAAATTGACAGACCACTGCATTTCATGTTTGACAAGAATGACCTCTTCATTCCAACGATCGCACAGGGCCTTTGTCCAGAGCCAATTGACTCGATAGACTGTTGTTGCAATATGTGAGACCGGATCACCCAATATCAACGGATATGCAGGATACTCACATTCTGTCATCCAGTCATTTCCGGATGTATCACCCTGAACATTGATTGACCAGAACCATGCAAGAGTAGCGTCCCTCTGACCACGTGCATTTGGATCTGCAACTGCAGCGTTTGCCTTCAGGTGTTCTTTCTTTAGCGGAAGATATTTCTTCAGGAGGTCGTGATCAGGGAGTTTGGCTAGCTGCAACCGACATTTTGAATATATCCTGGCATTGAGATTGACTACCATTTCCACCGAGCGAACCTGAGTCCATGCCCTGGTGGAGGAGGCTTGTGACTTGGCTGACCGGATAGTATTCCGGAATATAACAGCTTTATCTCCCAAATGAACTCTAATTGCATGAAGGGCGTCATTGGCCTGACCTTCACGAAGGGCAGTTTCTTCTTTCATGAGATCGATGAGACCCAATTCATTGCATCTCACTATACTGAGGTTGGAAGGCAAAGGTAAGATAGTGAGCTCAGGTTGAAAGATGGAGGCATGATGTGTTTCCAGATCCGGATCCGGATTGTGATCGTCATCAAGATCGGAATAATCTTCATCCGGTGAATTATGAACCGTGTCTACCGGAGAATCCTGTTCATTGCCATCAACTGCAAATCCAAGATAGGTAGGTGCCATCTCAAGAAAGCTTGTAATGCGAGTTTGCAGCTTATCTCTGAGTCAGGCTACTGTCAACAATTGAATGTCTGTAGGATGCCTTCCGAGCCTTTTCACATCTCTAGAGAGAGAGATTTGGGATTATTCTATGGTCAGACCAGTTGCGAGCCAAGTGGCTGCTCCTCGCCGACTAGGGGAATTGGTAGCTGGATGATCCGGGCGATTTTGAGCCTCCAGCAGGCGCAACTCCTGCTGCTTTCTAGTTGGAGCTGTAGATCATGCCATCCGGATAATAATCCGTATGTGATCAGGACCGGATGAGTAGTAGTAGAATTTGACACTTGCCTTTTTCCAACCGGACCTCATAAATGTCCATGGCTGTTGGATCCTCCAGTCTGTTTGCCTGAGCAACAGCCTCCTCTGCTTCCCAAAGAATGACCATGGCAGGCTGAACTGTCTCGTTAAGATTTTGGAATGAGAGTGTGCTCTCTGCAGCACCCTGAACAGCCTCTTTAAACTTTCTGCAAAGAAACTTGGCTAAGGGGCAGGTCAGCCGGGAATGAATAATATGAGACCAGGCCATTTTTGTACATCCGGATATTGGCAACTCACTTATGTGAATCATTTTCATGAAGTTTGAATCATTCATCTGATAATCCAATACCTCCTTGCGATGAGGAGTTCCCATGTCCCTGGCTGACGGGGAGATTATGTTTAAAGATGCCCAGAGTGTTTCCATGATCTCTCCGTCTATCCTGCCAGTCCCATGGATAAATTTCGATGCATACCGGACATAGCAGCTGTCCTGATGGCCATGCACATGCCACAAACCTATTCCAGGAATGATATCCATGCCAATGGGGATGGACAGATACATGCTTGATGCGATCCGGTCCTTGAGAAACTTATTATACTGACAATTTATATCATAGAACATTATTGCTTGTGAGATTCCATCTGTATTGTAGTTGAGTGCTTGACTCAAGGCATAGTCCATGTTCATCTGCCTGATTATTTTTCAAGATCAGTAAGACCAGAAATGCATGTAACTGGATGCAATGTCCATTTACCTTTCACCCTTCTGAAAATCCACCATGGAATGTGGGACAAAACATCCATGCCGTGCACATGCACATCCTCCTATACCTGTGGCCTCTAGCTTTTGTCGGGAGGCATTGGCTTGATTGACTGCATGGTGATTGTTACAATCTGACTTTTGGACACGGTCTTGGGCAACAGCCAAATGACTCTTGTATCTTTCATCTCCGACCATGAATGCAAGACCATCAATCAATGATACTTCATCGGATGGATTCACCGGATGGAGGTGCTCGGCTTTAAAATTACCATCCATGACCAAAGTCCTGGTGAAGAGCCAGGAAGGGGTGTCATCCGGCTGAGTGGCCATACCGGTTGACCAGTCCAAATTTATCCCGGTTGAGGACATGCCGGACAGAATAGGGCGAGGTCACCGGTCTTAGGCTCATCGTTTTTATGGGCAAACCCATGCCACTTGTAGAGCTTACATTGACGCCATTGTCTGGCAGTCCTCATGAGCTCTCTGTAGCGATCCTGCAAATATTATTGTTTGATGACCGGCTGAAGTAGAGAATGAAAACCGACTTACCGGAACCATCAATGGAAAGATGCTGGAGGTTAGCCTCCAGATCTTACTGTAGTAATTCATGGCTGATGTACCACATTCCAGGTTGTCTAGCAGAAAGTCGTCCAACACGGAGAATGTGAATGCAGTTTTTGGTCTGGTGAAGGATGCTGGAAATAAGCCTGCTTGAAAGAGCTGCATATCCGGGTTTAGAGCTCCGGGGCAGTGGCAATACCATATGGATACGGAGTGAACACCGGATTTGTCGACTATGGTTGTAGCCGGATGATCTGAGTCTGCGACAAGTGGAATGGAAGTTCCCTCCGGATAATCATTATGGTCTATATGTTCATCGGTATCTGACCATTCAAAGAGGTCTGATGAGTATTCAGTGCTGCTGGGACATGGAGTGCCATCATGAGCAAGGTGAATGTGCAGGCCGACTTTCATAAGTGAAATTTCTTGAAAAAATGATCCGGTCCATTGACTGATGCGATGGAAAGGATGTCTTTGATGCTGGGTTCTGCAGCACTCTGTGCAAAACAGGGGCTCGTTGAAACACCCGTGGCATTTATAAACCCCATCCTTCTTGCAAACTTCACAAAGCCGGTCCAGAGGAGGGGTTTCTCAGACCATGAGTAAATTTATGTAGTCCTTGAACTTGCGCTTCCATTGCCGGAGATATTCATTCTGACTCTGCATGATCCGGTCAGATGAAGACTGCAGATATCAGAAGAACTTCTGCTTGCCAGAGATTTTGGTAATTTAGGCTGAGGCATGTAGCCTTGGTCAAAGTCAAAGTCAGCACCGTCATAGAGCATCTGAGAGAACCTGGCTGTGTGCTTTGAGGGAGATTTTGTTGGTGAGGATGTCACCGACTTTGTTTTCGGGGACCATGAATCTTTCACCCAAGATGACCTGGTTCCTCTGGAAGTAGTTTTCTCCTTCAGTTTATATAGCTGAGGCAATCGTTTCTTCATCGGAGGAGTGTATGTGATTCCCTTTTGTTTGGTATTTGCCATGATTGATACCAAGACCTAAAGGATTGTTGGGCTGGGGAGTGCACTTAAGCTTGATGATCGGCAGGCATATAACTTTACACCTGTTCCTTCCTTCAACTCCGGCCTCTGAGTGATTTGAATCACTGGATTACCATTCCTGTTTGTCATTGAGGTACCAACTCCGGCCTCTGAGTAATTTGAATCACCGGATTACTACATTTTCTGTTCCTATGTGTCAGTGAGGTTACCGGGTGATCAGAAATTTTGGAACATCATCTCTATTTAGGATATATTAAGGTCAGAGCAACCGAGTTTGCCATAAGTTTCGTCATTTCCGGGTTAGTTAATCAAACACATCGTAATCCTGCCATCATCCCAATTCCCATAGATTTCTTCCGGTATAAATGTGTCTCCCTATGCTGTATGGCATTTTAAGAGTATTACTGTATGCTGCCTGTATACTATATGATAAACTTGGTCTAAATTTGTGTGTTTTGCAGTCCTAAATTCTATGAACCGGAAACACAGGGCATGTTAAGCCTGAGAGTATCATGTTGGCAGACAATCTCTTGTTTGGTTCTACTTTCGGATACATGGTGGCAATTGGCTATGTAAGATTATACTGTATCCTTTCTTCTACCAAGACCTCAACTGCTTTGCAATGGCCCGATCCAACTCATCAGTACACAGCCCCCAAAAGACCAAGCAGAAATTGACTGAGGAAGAGCTGCTGGTCTTACAATCTCACCTAGAAGAATGGAAGGAAGCGACCGGTAAGGATAGGAAAACGATTTTGAGGGCGGTCATAAAAGAGGCCAAGATGCAAGCCCCTAAGATGGATGCCCGGCTGTTGAAGAAAAGGAAATCTGTAAGCAGCCAATCTTCTAATTTCATAAATGCTCATGATGGATGAAGATGTACCGGGACTGGTTATATAACCGGAGAGCGGAAAAGACACTCAAAAAACGAAGCAAGTTCAGTAAGAAATGGACTACCCGGTTGGTGATAGAACACCAGTACAAGAAGGAGATCCTTGAAAAGACAGGAGCAAGGCCAGGAGGGAAGGAAATGATTAAACACTACCAGGGTGCGGTCAATGCAATTATGGCCGGTTTATCTGAAGAGCAGCTGGATGAAGCAAATATGACTGCTATAGAATGGTCTAGCAGTGCTCCTCCTACAGATGTCCAGGCTGAGTTCGCTCAGAAGAAAGCTCCTGGTATGATGAAGGATCTTGCGACTCAGTTATGGAGGCAGGCTGGTATGAGGATATTCATATTGTCTGCATGGAAAACCGAGGAAGGCAAGGTGAGGATCAATGGGTGAGTGACATTTTAATTCTCTCAACCTGGTAAAGACGGCCTGATCCGGTCATAAGAATTGACTTCAATGAAAAGTTAGAGGGCAATAGTTTCACAGATACAAAGGACTGGAAGTCCATGTTACCAGAGTGGAATGCCTATGTCGGAGAAGAGTTTGGTGAGCTTCTTTTTGTGCAATGTTGATGCATCCGGTCAAGTACTTACACCATGTGATGCCAGCAATTGACCTGGAATAATGATGACGATGGCAATGAGGATGCTGATGGGAAGGAGAGCAGAAATCCAAGGAGAAAGAAGGAGGAGTTTACTTTAGAGGTCGATGCCTATGGGCTTCCGGTCATACCGGATATTGAGCCCCTCAACTTAGAAAACAAAAAGTCTCTTATCCGGACATTCCTCACAAAACACTACAGTAAGTTTCACAAATGAAATATCTGGAGGGTTGATAGAGGAATTACTTATTTCGCAGGGTTTTGCAGTCAAAAGCCAAAGGTGTCTGTTCCTTGGTCTGCAGTGACGGAGGCTCAAGAGAATTTCATCGAGCCCAAGTTTTTGCCTACCGGTGGAAAGATCAAGGACCCGTCCAAGCTTCAGCTGCATGACGCTGACCGGCTCTTGCAGTTCTGGCATCAGAGACAAAAGGACAAGGTTCGGCCAACATTTGAATTCAAAGGCTGGCAAGACCATGAGAAGGAGATGAGGGAGCCAGTGGAGAAGATCTCAGAGGGCGACTCTAGCACAACATGCAGTCCAGTAACAGCAAAGACCAGAGTTCCGGTTCAAAAACCAACCGGTAGGTTGACCGGAAAGTCATCTGGCAAGTCAACCATCAGGGTGGAACCGGAGTCAAGCAGTGAGGGCGAGGATGGTGAAGGTGAAGGTGAAAATGATGAAGCTCGATCACCGCCTTCCAAGCTGAAATTGACTGGAAAGCCGAAATTGACCGGAAAGCCAGGCAAAGCTGTCCAATCTATTCCGGTTAAAAAACCACCTGCAAAGTCAACCGGAAAATCATCCGGTAAGCCGGCCGGAAGGGTGGAAGCGGAGTCAAGTGGTGAGGAAGAGAATGGGGATGAAGGCGATGCTGAAGTCCAATCACCGCCCCCGGAGCGCCAATCTATTGGAAAGCGAAGCAGAGCCGTCAGATTTCATCCGGAGGAAGACTCCGGCCCATTGGTCAAGAAATCTAAATCAAATGTCATTGGGCGCAACATACCACTGGAGGACGATGCTGGCACTCCTTCAGCAGAATCATCCAGCAATCATTCTACAGCCCCACTGCCTCCCAAAACTGCATCGAGAAGTAGCTTTGTTGGTCCTGCATCAGCCGGTCGAATGAAGAAGTCCGGTCAGAAGCAGAAGTCCGGTCAGAAGATACCTGCACCTAAACCAACGGCTCCTGTCACCACACAGGGCACTGGTAAGAAAACTCAAACAGATGGAGCCCACATTGATAAGCTGGAGCCAAAGCGCTCCACTAGAGCTGCAAAGGTGTCTTATAAAGTGAATTACATGCAAAGAGCGTAATCATCACATTTCATTGAATGTACTATACAAGGGGTGGAAAGTATCAATGGTATATATATAGATGTCATGTCGACAGTCGGTATATTGATATAAGTTGAAATGCCAATAATAACTCACTAGTGGACTGAAGAACTTCCTCGCTGACAAGTGCTTCTTCCAGCGACATTGTACCATGAGCCCTTTCCATCTCCAACCAGTGCATTGCCAAGCACAAGTCACCTACAGCACGCTGAATCACAAATCCGATAGGTTCCGGTTCACTAGCCATCTCCAAAGGGGTCTCTTCCGGTTGAATATTCGATTGATGGGCAAGATCATGTGCCGGATCTGTCCCAAAGCCCATGTCCAAAGGTGTCTCTTCCGATCGAAGACCCACTGAATGTACATGTAACAGTGTAACCTAATAAAATGATAAAACTCACTTGACTGATCCAGAATATCAACCGGATCAACACCGGAAGGCCTCTGGTCCGGATGATCATGTTGAACCACAGGCGAATTAAAACCCATGTCAAATGACATCTGCTCCGGATCACGATGTTGAACCAGAGGTGAATAAAAGCCCATGTCTAATGACATCTGGTCCGGATCATGATGTTGAGCCTGAGGTGAATGAAAGCCCATGTCTAATGACCTCTGGTCCGGATCATGATGTTGAACCGGTGAACGAAAGCCCATGTCAATATCCGGATGACCAGTGTTGAACTGGAGGTGAATTGAAACCCATGTCCAAAGGGCTGTCTTTCACCGAAACATCATTGACTTGATGATAATCATGAGTAATCCCATTCCTTGCATATTGAATCAACCAAATACCTGAGCCACCGGCCAGTTGATTGTGTGCCAGGAAGTTCAGAGAGCCGGTCGCAGGCTCCGCGAAATCATTGGTATTGAATGAATGGCCAGGTGGAAATCCCATGTCCAACTTCGGATATAGGTGTGGCAATTGAAGACTGGTTAGTATTGGACAGAGGGAACCCCATATCCAATGCGTCTGACACCAGTTGGCTTGGGAACCGGTCGAAACCCATGTCTAATGACCGGCTGTTCTCGATCCTGCATTCTGGCATCGTCAAAGTCTTGCCATCCTTCCACCAGTCATAAGCAGATGCAACATCTAGGTCTAGAAGGCATCAATAATTAGGTGTATAGGTCAGTATGAGAGGACTTACAGTCGCCAATGTTTGAGCAATTCATTCCAAGGCTGTCGTGTCCCGGTTCCAATATGAAAAACACTGCCAGATCATGTGAGGTACCTTCCGGAAAGGCAATTGATTTATTACCTTTGGCCTCGCTAGATAAGTGTAAATGATCCTCAATAATCTCTGAGGGCGAAATTCTTTTCCTCCTTCTGCTGAATGACTTGTCTAAATCAGTATATTTTGTGCGATATCCGGAATGTGTCATGGGTTGTTCCAAAGCCTGTCAGTGGATGCTGTACTCACGCCAATTTGATAGCGATGACGTGGCAACAATGGCATTCGCACAAGGACACATGGCAACTGCGGAGAAGAGAACCAGTACATTAATTGTTCTTTCGGAAATATCCGAAATCACCCGAACATCCGGCAATTTTCAATTTCCTCGTTCCCTGCCGGATCAAGAGAACCGGTACATTCATTATTGTTCTTTCGGCAATATCTGAAATCACCCGAACATCCGGCAATTTTCCATTTCCTCGTTCCCTTCCGGATTTCTTTTGCAAGCCAACCTGCTACCATCATTTTGTCTTACTGCTGATATGTCTTCCAACATTAGTACTGCTGCTGCCGCCACTGCCAACCAGGCACTCATTGCCCTTCTCGCCAGGTTGAATCAGATGGTTGAAGAGGTTCTCCGGTCCCGGTCAGAAGATGAGAGGATGAGGTTGAGCAGAGCCATTGCATCTCAAATGGTATGTTTGTCATTTTTTTTGTATTGTATCCATTAATATCGTTAGAATGATGCCATTCACTCCTACTGGACGACAGCTACCTACATCCCCCTTCGCCTGCTCTCTATGGCAGCTGAGATTCATAGAGCTCAGGGGGGTACCACGCGATTGGTTCAAGTACTGGATTGGACTCGTGTTGGCAACAATGAGGACATTTGCCGAGGTCATCTGTTATACCCTAAGACATTGGGTCCTGCTCCCACTCCACCAACCACTACCGCTGCACCAACACTGCTATCTGGCCCTCCACCGGCACCGGTACCGGCACTTGCACCTGTAGCCAAACCTGCACCGGCACCTGCTCCTGTACCGGCACCTGCTCTCAGCCGGCACCTGCTCCTGTACTGGCACCTGCTCCACCGGCACCTGCTCCACCAGCATTTGCTCCACCGGCTCCCAACACAATCCGCATTCCTGGCAATACATCTGGTGCCATTGCAGGCCCATCAAGACCACGCAAACGACAATTCAGCGCGAGTCCCCCACGTCAGGTCAAGAGGGCCCGGAAGGCTATCCCCAAGTCGAAGCCACTGTTAACAGACACGGACACTGACTGGCGATACAGTTCGCATTGGCAAAGATAAGCCCAAGGCGAAGGGAAAAGGAAAGGGAAAGGCGAAGGTGAAGGCAAGGGCAACGTCACTGGATCGCGATAACCGGCCAATGATCAACAAGGTACGTTCATTTTTTCAATATCAACACCGGCAATGTCATTGATTCGTACAGAATTTACCAACCATTGTCATTACCACTCGGCCAATGCTGCCCCCTCCAGACCAGAAGAAGAAGGCCGCTGACTCAGAGGAATATGAACCGGAGGAGGAGGAGGAGGCGGATGAAGACAATGCAATTGAGCCTTCTGGGACACGGGTCAAACCGGGCGAGGGACGATTACCAGTAAGTTTTCATATTATTGCACCTATCGTGAGTATGGCTAATATAATCATGATAATAGTCCAAGTCCGGTACAGATCATACCAGAACAGCCAAGGACAAGGCAAAGACCAGGGGCAAGCGTCCACAGCCGGTAAGACATCCGGTAACTCTCCACCGGTTGTGCTATACTAATTCTTCATAGAAACCCATTGGTACGCCTCTCCTACCATGCAGGAGATGCACAATTATGAAGGCCAAATGCGAAAGCTGGTTGACCAAAAGGGGCGAGGTCGCCCATACTTGCATTCTTTGCAGCAAGTGGAGGATGAAATGCATCCGGCTGGATGATCCGGTCCTACCGGCCACAGCCATCGTCACTCGCTCCAAGACGACCGGAAAAACTAAGACCATTGGGCAGTCAAAAAACAAAGGCAAAGGTAAAGGCAAGTATCTTATTTTCTGTAGTATATCTACTAATTGTATTCTTCTAGTCGTCCAAACTCAGCGTCCCAGTCCTATTCCGGAGGAACTGGATGTCGATGTTGATATGACCGATGCCCCTGCACTCACCGGCACCGAACATCCTGGCACTGCTACCGATGCAGGCCCTGAGGTATCTGTCGATGATTTTTCGACGGATCGATGGATCGAAGCCATGGATGAAACTACCCTGCCCCCAGCACCATTGATAGAGACACTGGATGACATCCGGTACTCGCCAGGACTATCCTCATACTCGAAGACCCGCCTCTCCTGTCGACATTTCTGTACCTCGTCAGACTCCCCAGTCCCTGTTCTTTGACCAATGTCCAGATGGATGCCCTCCTGGCACAAATTCAGATCGACATGGATCAGCTCCGGACACGTGACGACATTATTCATGATGAGCTGTCCCATCGTATCGACTGGCTGCAAGCCGGCTTTACAAACGAATTAGCCTCCCAGAAGAGAGTGGTAGATCAGTTGACTTTTCAGGTCAGTGGTATCGCCCGGTACCTCAGCAACAGCCACAGGGACACCACAGCAGCCGGTTCAACTCCACCAGCATTCAATCCGCCACCCATTGTCATCCCTGATACCCCCACATTCCCTGACTTTGGCTCAATCAGCGCCTTGGGTCGTTCCATCACCAACAATGTCTTCACTCCGGATGTGTTTTTGACCAACACGTGTCCTGTCGGAGATGGCTCACCAGTCGCAAGGCATGAGCAGGTACCTACACCCTCCACCTCTACCATCAACCCTGTCCCCACCATGGGGGAATCCGGTCCACACAGTCATCCGGTTAGTGCACTTCCGGTATCGGCCCCTACTGTCCCAATGGCATCTATGCCCTCCACTAGTACCCTTCGCACCATGCTCACCGGGCCACCACATCTGCCGGCAGATGGTCAGTCCCTTTCGGCTCCTTTACCTGAACCGGGCATTTGCACCTCAATCACGGCAACAAGGTCGGTCAGTGAGTGCTAGGCATGACAAGAACCCTTCTGGTAATAGGGCCAAGTAATGCCAGTACATGTAGTTTGTTTTGTCGATAAGGACAATCTAATGCCATGGTAGAATGTATTAGATGGTGTATTAGATTGTCCGGTTCATGTATGTATTAGATTGACTGGTTCATGTATGTAGTATACCGGCCGATGGGCTTGTGAAATGATTCATCAACCGGATAATGTAGCTACCGGATCATGGGCCGGTGATTAAAATGCACCTGCCGGATGATAATATGACCAGATCTCCGGTGTATATCATTCGTCCGGCTCGGTCGTTTCCATTTTACACCGGATTCGCTATTCAATAAGATTCCTGTAAGTCTGCTATATACCCCCGGCCCATCCGTTTACCTTGGGTACACATCTGGCTGGCCCACTCGTCTCCATCGTACACAAAATTTGGTATTAATAATGTCATGTATACTAGTAAATTCCTATATAACTATCTATACTGTATGCTCTCGGCCCATTCGTATGTGTCGGGTACACAGATTCACTCAGCCCACTCATATGGTCAGCCCATCCGTTTACCTTGGGTACACACATCCGGCCGGCCCACTCGTCTCCAATGTAAACAGGAATTAGCATTTATAATGTCCTATATACTAATACATTCCTATACCACTGTCTATATAATGTACCCTTAGCCCATCCGTGTGTCTTGGGTACACACATTCACCCGGCCCACTCGTATCTCATGGTACAATTATGTCCATGGGCCCACATGGGATGGCCCGTTCCCAACGGTACATTGTCACACTCAGCTGTCCGTCTGAGACGGAGTGAATTCACTGAAGGGGCTTGGCAACGCAGATTTCGCCAGCTTTGTAAGCTAAATATTGTCATACCAGGGTTAACCGGTTTTCACACCTGAGGCAGGACGGAATCTGTCTGAAGCACAGATTGGTATCATATCCGCAGAAATATTTTGCATTGGTGATAGGATCTGTACTGCAGTAGTATTGGATATCAAATTTTACATATGTTCGTGATATGACATATAGCCAAATTGGGGGGACAATATCCTAAATCTGATGACATCACATATCTAAACTTTGAAATAAAATCTGTTTTGCTCTAAGATACGTGTCATATATAGAATTTAAGTATGAATATGGTGGCTGATCAATTTTAATTACAAATTTTAAATATGAACCCTATACATATTTGGTATAACAATTTCTTATTGGTCAGTCATCGAACAAATTCAGAATAATACAAACCAGATCTGCACATACAAAATATTATTGTCATAATTTCAATATGAGCATGGATCTGGTGCACAAACAAAGCCTTCCTTTCAAATTCTCAATATTGTGGTCTATATATTCTTCATTTGGAGATAAATCTGGTAGGGAATCAATTTCAACCACAATTTTTACATCTGTGCTCTATTTGTTTAGGTTCAACATCGAACAATAGATGTAAAATATTTTACAAATATGTTCCGCATATTAGCCTCCAGCCAATCCGGCAATGTCTCTGGTGTCAGTGATGTTAGTGCACTGGGTGAGTCATGTGGTTGAGTCTTAGTTGTACAGTGATCTGCCCATAGTACTACTCACTATTTGACCGGTGCAATACAAGTAAATGCAGCAATCGATCTCTATTAGGCAAGGTCCCTTCAGTCCCGAACATGCACTGATAGGCATAGATGCTGTCAAAGCAACAGCAACGGCGAGGAGGGAGAAACGCATTTTTTGTACAAGGTGATATGTTTTTGAGGGGTTCTCGAATGATATCACCGATTATGGGGGGGAGCACTGCAGGACAGCGACCAGCTTTTATATCCTGTACATATGATTCTGATCGTTTTGGCAGAATTGGTATGGCTGTCAGATAGCATAAATTTCGGCAGAACCTGCAGGAGCGTGTTCAATCGATTACGCCCATCGAATCATAACCTGCATGCAGGCATCAACAAGTCTCTTCTTTGTAACAACAGAGCGCTCCGTCGAATCACCGGTCTCTCACCCCAATCTCTGACTTGTGGTTATGATTCGAACCCGGAAGTATGCTATATGTGAGGATAAGGCTATGCATCTTCAATGCGGGCTCCGGAGTCGAGACCAGTCTGTAGTGCTACATGGTTACCATCGACTATTAATCACCGAAACTTTCGTTCGCGCGCTGCATAGAGTGCCATACCCCACTTGACGATGCAGACGGTTATGGACCTCCTGCTACACACCATCTCAGAGACTCAGAAAAGCCTGGCATGGCCACTTGGAAGGATGTATTTTTCCATAGTGCATGAGCGTATTTTTTGAATGTGTTAGAAGCTGACGAGCGAGGATGCCTTCCTGTAAGCAAAGGTACGAGGGCCTTGAGTTGTAATAAATTGAACTTCAAATGATTGGTGCCTTTCGAGACAAAATCAAGGCGCGCGAAAGTTTCGAGTACTTGCTAGAACTGTATCATTGAAAGCGTGTTTGTAAAGTACGTTTGAAGGTTGTAGAAAGCATTAAAAGCAAATATGGACACGGGCAATGCAGAATTGATGTTCAAACTCATGATTTGAGTTGGCCATAACATATAGATGCAGCAAAACAGCTATATGGGTGACGACGAGCATGAACATCAACTTCTCAACTTTGTCACTGCGCTGGCAGGGCCACTGCAGGTTTAAATGATGAAGCGATGAGCGAGAGATTAAGATGAGAACCGGTGGCGAGCGTTCTGTCATGACAAAGAAGAGAATTGTCGATGCTCGCAGGCAGGTTATAGCCGCATAGGTTCTGCCGAAATTTGTGCTATCTGACAGCAATAACAGTTCTGCAAAAACGATCAGAATCGTGCCGATTAATTTATGCGTGATATAATAGCTGGCCATTGTCCAATAGCATTCCTCCATCTTTCAGCGATATCCCCCTCAGAATATGCCATATCACATCGTACAAAAAATGCGCTTCTCCCTCCTGGCTGTTGTTGTTGCTTTGGCAGTATCTATGGTTGTCAGTGCACGTTCGACCCTGTATCAACCTTGCACAACAGACTACGAGTCTACGATTGCTGCGCTGGCTTTTGGTGTAGCAGTGGTTTCCTGAGTGTGAGCAGGTTGCTGTACAACTCAACCACATGACTCACCTGCGTGCCGTAGGATGGAATTTTTGTCTGCTTAACAAAAGGGATTTTTAAAAAATCGGGTCAGCAGCCCGAGCAGCAGTGAGTTATGCATGATGTTTCTACTTTCGCTTTGGCATCATGGTTAACGGTGCAATATAGGCCTAGTTCAGAGCCAATCAATTGTTTTTGAACAAATGTTGTGATAGGGTGGTCTGGTGCAGGTCCCCAGGAACGCCAAGGGTCCTGGCGCAATGGCACAAGTCCTGGATCGTAGTCGGTAGTCCTGCGCATGTACTAGGAGTCGGCTCGATAGATAGAGCCGCAGCCTCCCGCCAGTGAGGTTTGACCTTAGATTTTCATTGCAGTCTTTGCCCGCTCCAATGTTCATACTACTCGAGCAATCATGTTGATGTTTAAACTTATCTGAAAATGATCGATCATGCCTACTAGTCTTGCTCGTCGTCCGCTAAGCTTGAGCTTGAGAGGCCGTCAAAACGAGCGAGCATTGCTGTAGATAGTTAACGGCAGTACAAAGATGGAACGCACTGTCAAGGTTGAATTTGTTCGTCTAACATTGGACTCCAAGGGTAGCTCATGTGTCCCTCTCTTGATGAGCCAACGAGACGCCGATCGTGATTCGTGACAGACATGTTGTTTTCTGGTATGCAGTAAAAGCCTCAAGGTCATGGAATTAAGTCGTGAGCCTTGGCGAGAAGAAAAGGCCGTGAATGATTAAAAACAAAAACAACATCACTGACTGCCGTAACTCTTACCACAGCGTGTTGTACGAGTATGCACATGCCGTTCGTGAAGCAGATACGGTGGTGAAGGCACTCACAGATGGGACGTCCGCATGCTGTATTCTGGAAGGTCCTTGTAGAGGGTCGAGTATCGATCCGGGTCTGTACGAAAGCGTGGTTCTTGTAGCCGGCGGGTCTGGCGTCACATTCACTCTTGGTCTGCTGGACGACATCGTTGGCAGGTGTGTCAAACTAGGCCGCAGTCAGGGGGAACGAACGAGGAGAATCGAGTTCACCTGGTGCATTGGATCTTTTGGTATTTCATTTTTGATCACAACGTTACATCATTCTGATATATTTTCACAAGTTAGATGTAATGGCTTGCCCTGATGCTGGTAGATATTGCCACGGCAGCGTCTAGTAGCACCGTCGACCTGCACATTTCTATTTTCGTGACGTGCCTTTGCGATCCAGAAGCCGTACCTCATATTCCTAACTTCATCGTCACACTCTTGCGTCTGCCTATTCAGAGTCTTCTCAAGGACTTCATCAGTCTCCCGTCATCGTTTGCAAAGGAAGATTCGATCGAAATTCAATGTGATGAAAGCCAGAAAATGGTGGGCTTGGGTGCGGGGGTCGCGGTCTGGGCTAGTGGCTCAGAGAGCTTGACGGGAGATGCGCAGAATGCAGTCGCGAGATCGGGTTTGACATTGGGTGTGGACGTGGGCGGGATTGCTCTACATACAGAGCTGTTTACTTTATAACGCTGAGGTAGATATCATCTTGTACTGACGTTTTTCAAGAGCTTACATTTCGGTTCGCGATTATCAACCTGACGGGTTTTCCGATCCTTGGCTCGCTGGCGACGCTTCATGTATTTTGCTATAGCTTGTTGCGTTATATCATGATCATCATAATCTTGGGGTGAGTACGATAATATTAGGGGCTGATGATACCTTACAACCCGACCCTGTTTGTGAATGGACTGCGTCATGCCTACTCCATTGCAAAAGTTCGTGGCTGGTTAGATGGTGTCTTAACATATTGAGCAAGCCTACTTTCTCCCGAGCATTATGTGTATCATTCCTGGTGCCAAATGCCCAACTTTCTCATAAAGAGCTGGAGTGCCCTCTCATCCGCTTCGAATATGACAGCTTCTTTCCACTCCTCGTCGGATTCATCATCAAAACGAAATTGACTCAGCCCAAAATCGATGAGTACCACTCGTCTAGGGTGACTGCTAGATACAACAATGTTGTCTGGGCGCATATCGGCATGGATGACACCGAAAGACGCGAGGGTGCTCACGGCCTTTACGAGCTCCTGGTATGCTGAACTAGGGACTGAATGGGGATCTTGAATGGTTGCGAGATTCTCGCCTGGGATGTACTCCATGAAAAGCACTCTGGGAGATATGGCACGACCTTCGCCATGGCCCGAGATGACCCGACCCGAACCATAGAGCTGTGGGATGGTAGAACCCTGAAGGTATCCAAGGCATCTGTAGGCTTCAATTTCACGTGCAAATGAAGCCTCGTACTCGCGATAGTAGATTTCTTCCCACAACGAGCCATCCAAGAACTCTCTCTCCCATCGAGGGATCCTGAAGTCATCACCCGTTGCGAATCCACGACGATCAGCTGCGGCCTTTTCATTAGCAGCGGACCAGTGGATGGGAGATCGTCTTGGGAATGGGTTTTTGCGCTCGTAGTTGAGACGTGGATCAAATATTTTAGCTATTAGTGGATTAGGGAGGCTGGCTCTGACAGGGGCATCCTCGATTTCGACGCATAAAACCTGGCATTTTGTGAAAGGGGTAAATGCCTTGTGGATGACAGCAGCACATATGAATGAGGATGTCTCGTCGCTGAAAGGAGTTACCTGCAGCTGGAGGCGACCTCCTTGTGTGTAAGGCTCTGACATCGTCGCTCCGAAACGTTTGAGTTGAACTTTGAGAGGAAATGGCGGAGTTTGAACGTTACCTTGCGATCATCGATGTGAGTGCTCGGAAGGAACCGAGTCAACCGACACCTCGCTCATACACTCTTGCTCGCTCACTCATTTTTGCCCCCCTTCTTTAGTGAGTCGAGGCGAACGCACGCGGGAAGATCGAGCTAGAAGAGAATATATTATCTCAGTCTCGCTAAGAGGGACTCTGTATATCAGTAGCTACCTAGAAGAGAATATATTCTAATGGTAATGTTAGCGTGTGTACGAAGGAATGAAAACATAAGGCTCACATCTCAGTCTCGCTAAGAGGGACTGAGATGTTTTTACGACGCAAATGTTCTTTTAACATAAGGTAAAACGGTAAAACTCGGATAGAAAAGATATCATTGTGAAACATACGAAAACGCGAGGCTCGGCCGATGTCATAGCCAGGTACATCAAATACACTCGTACCCCTTGTTCCTAGTCTGACACTCCCGTCTCTCCCGATCGCAACACCTTCCACCAGTCCAGATTTATTATTATCATCACATCATAATACTCGCTTATAATGTGTCAATGTGTACTAATGATGAAGTTAGTACATATTGACACATTCCAATACCAGTTTCGTATAGTGTACGGTCCATGACCTTTGCTGTCACAACAACTGTAGGATCACTCACTGTCTCATTGGACAAGTAGGCTATGGTAATGGGGCCACAATTCTTCATGGTGAGCTCTATGGCAGGATTGTGTCTGCCCTGCTAGCACGTTTAGGGGGTATTGAAGGTTGTGCAATTCAGCTGAATGCCATCCAGGTCAGTAATTCGGACAGTTTTACATTACACTCCCTTACATCGAAGTTTATTGAGAGCCCAGTACTGTCATTAGGCAACTGCACGGGTTATGGGTAACCTGCACAGGTCATGGGGTAACTTACCCGCGGGCCACAGCTTATGTCATACACTGTGCCTGCAGTGCCCAAACTACTTACTTGATGACCGCGGACTGTACCTTTAACATATGGCTTCTATCTCACTTTGGCCTTTGAATCACTTTCCTTGTATTTCCATAGGCCAATATATTAGTATGTCAATTAATTACAGTGAGTTGCACATTCTTTCCAAGCTTGACACAATTCATTTTGGTGTTAGCGACCACTCCTTTGCAAGTTTTTTGTTATTTGCAAGCTCGGTGACCATCAGATTTGTTTTGAGACATATGCATGCCTCCATGATGGTACATTTTTTGTATCTACCTTCTACTACTTGCCTCTGATGGCTGGAACTGTCTGCACAGACAGCAACAATGAATGTCGTACGCACCCAGTCTGACGAACTAAGCCCACTGCTATCCTCCTCCAACATTCCAAGAAGGCAGCTCTCCCATGTCTCCTCTCCCTCATTCTCCTCCTCACCTTCTTCCCTCCTTCTGCTCTCATCTGTCGTCTGTATTCGTCTGAGCCACATCAGCAGTTGCTGACGTGGACTGGGCATTTCCACATGGTGTTTGTGGTGTTGGGAATGGTGTGGTGGAGCCTGCCCATGTTGATATCCCACAACCTGACTCCACCATCATCACTCCTGCTGACCGCCTTCTTCCCATTCGGAGATAACACTATGGTTCACACTCTAATTTCTCCGTCCCACCAGTCGTCCATGTAGACAGACCAAGACTCATCAATCCTCCAATTTCTGCTCTTGATTAAAATATGTTGTAGTTGCCTTGCTGTATTATGGAAGTAAGCATCGTGCAGCCACGCTGTGTCATTTACATCGCTAATCTTTACATCTCGCACATCAGGCACAGTTCAACTCGCAATCAAAGCCTTGGGTGGTGCATGTCACCAAGAAGCCGCTGACATTCCACCACCGCTCTCGACAAATTCCCTACTATGGGATCCAGACTCCGAGCTGACAGCGCCCAGAGCGACCAACACTTATGCTGACCTCGGCTTTGCAAGTATGAGCTCACCAGTCAGTAGTATCATTGCCAGTCCTAGTCCATAGAACAACGATGAAGACAATAACGACATTGAGTGGGAGCTTCAAAATAATGGATTGTATATTGGTTCGTTCCCCTGAACATCGTGGCAGCGTCGCCATTCTCCAGCTGGTTTTCTTAACCTTTTTTTCTAGGTTCATACTCTCGGATAGTCTTATTGAATGCTTTAGTTCCAATTTTCTCAATAACGATTTTCACTGTGCTAGCATTCCTTCCTGACTTGGCTTGGCCCATAGCAGACTTCCCTTCTCCATACCCATCATCTTTCCCCTTCCCATTACCTCAAATTCTCATCTCCAGCGCATTTTCAGTATCACTCATCTCCTCTGCATTCCCATATTCTCACTCGCTTCCTTCCTACTCCCTTTACAATATGCATCTTTTGCAAGCACATTCATACATGTCCTCATTACAAACGGCCTTCGTTTCGCATCCCTCATAATTCTCCAAGTCAGGCACACAATGGACTATCCCATCCCTAGTTGCCAGGATCCTGCTTTCCACACTGTCTGGTGGCTTTCCCTCAACTTTGCAGAGGTACTTGCTGCTATTATACAGGGATATGAACAACTTGCTCTTTACCGCTGTAGAAACAACCATACTGAGAGGAACAAATGATGCTCCTGCCTGTATCTGTAAATAGTTGTAAGGTCGCACGTTGCCTAGTCTGCATTACTTGAGGAGACAAGTGCGTTCGACCCTAAAGGGGAAGCGAGTGGAGCGAAGATCTAGAGGTACGCGCTGAAGTGAAGCGCGAGAAAGCGCAGGTGTGCGCAAGGCACGAAGGCGCGGTGTAGAGAATCATGCCTCTCATGGCGTGATATGGCAGTTCCCACCAAGGAGTACATAGCACGAACTTGTAGTGTCACTCTGTGCGCTACCCACAGCTATCCCTATACGAGGCGCAACTTTCCCGCGCACCATTCCCGCGCTTGAGCGCCCTATAGCGCCAGCCATCCAGATGCATCCATCCACTGTCCACCATGTTCTCTAGTGCGTATATTTCTATTTCTCTCATCTGCATATTATTCCATCTTTATTTTTATCATGGACTCTCACCCATATATATCTTACATACCTACTCGGTAGCGCTTCGGCTCCGCATGACCGCGCTTAGGCGCGCTATATAAGCGCCAGCAGTACATAGTACTACTCACTTGACAGTTTTCCACTTACTTTTCACTTACTTTCCCTTTAACTTACTAGTTACCACCCACCATTTTACTTAGCAGAACATAGTAGAAGTCTATTTGTCTAGACTTCGCATCTCTCTTCTCTTATATTGCATCATATTAGCACTTGAGTCTAACTTCTCTATTATTTCTGCATACGCACGCGCGCTTTCCGCGCTTTGCACTAATACGTGCGCGTGTTCCCACGCCTTGCACGCACCTGCGCTTTCTCGCGCTTCGCTTCAGCGCACACTTCTAGATCCTTGCTGCACTCGCTTCCCTTTAGGGTCGAACGCGCTTGTCTCCTCAAGTAATGCAGACTAGGCAACGCACGACCTACAACATTTTATAGATACAGCTAGGAGCATCTTTTGTTCCTCTTTGTATTGTTGTTTCTACAGCAAGAACACGCGCGCGTATTGCGCGAAGCGCGGGAAAGTGTGTGTGTGTATGCGGAAATGAGAGACTAAGCTTAAGTGATGATATAAAGCAAGATAAGAGATGTGAGATGCGATGTGCTAATGAATAGATTTCTACTGCGACTTTCTAGCTATTAAGTATGTAAGTAAAGTTGGGTGAAAAGGTAAGTAAGTAATAGTATGTACTGCTGGTGCTTATATAGGGCACCTAAGTGCTGTCATGTGGAGCCAAAGCACTACTGAGTAGGTATGTAAAGATATATATGAGTGAGAATCCATGATAAAAATAAAGGTGGAATGATATGCTAATAAGAGAAATGGAAATATACGCACTAGAGAGGGCTTGGTGGACAGGGGATGGATGCTTCTGGATGGCTGGTGCTATAGGGCGCTCAAGCGTGGGAACGTGCATGCGCATATACATCGCGAAGCGCGGGAAGAGTGCGCGCATGGCACGGGAAAGCTGCGCCTCATATAGGAATAGCTGTGGATAGCACACAGAGTGGTGCTGCAAGTTTGTGCTATGTACTCACTAGTGGAAACTGCCATATCACACCATGAGAGGCATGAGTCTCTACACTGCGATCTCATGATCCCAGAGGAAAGAGAAACCGAGTTCCTCAAACATATAAAATCTGGTTTGTAAGGGTACTACACCTGGGGTACAGGTGGGGGTTGCCTTTCATGGCACCCATACCCTTACCCACACCCGTGCACGGGTTAGACCATCCAAACACCGGTGTTGAAACAACAATACTGCGAGGCACGAACAAGGCTCCTGGCTGTATTTAGAAATGTTGTAGGTCGTGCATTGCCTAGTCTGCCATACTTGAGACAGCAAGTGCATTTGACCCTGAAGAGGAAGCAAGTACAGCAAAGATCTAGAGGTATGTGCTGAAGTGAAGCACGAGAAAGCGCAGGTGCGCACAAGGCGCGGGAACACGCGCATGTATGCAGAAACAATAAAGACTAAGTATAAGCTTGCTTAAGTGATGATATGATGTAATGACAAGGAAAGAGAGATGTGAAGTGTAGACAAATAGATTTCTACTATGTTCTACTAGGTTGATAGTGGGTGCAAAGTTGGGTAGTAAGGTAAGCTAAGATAGAAAGTCAAAAGTCAAGTGAAAGTAAGTGAGTAATGGTATGTACTGCTGGCGCTTATATAGCACCTAAGCGCTGTCATGCAGAGCCGAAGCGCTACCAAGTAGGTATGTAGAGATATATATATAAGTAAGGGTCCATGATAAAAATAAGGTGGAACAATATACAAATGAGAGAAACGGAAATATACACACTAGAGAACTTGGAGGACAGTGGATGGATGCATCTGGATGGCTGGCACTATAGGGCGCTCAAGCACGGGAAAGCGCGTGTGCATATACATTGCGAAGCACAGGAATGGTGCACGCATGGCACGTGTTGCGCAGGAAAGCAGTGCCTCATATAGGGATAGCTGCGGACAGCACACAGAGTGGTGCTGCAAGTTTGTGCAATGAACTCCTTAGTGAAAAGTGCCATATCATACCATGAGAGGCATGAGTCTCTACACCGGCAGCAAGCACTCAGTATCATGGGCACACGACTCACTGTACACCACATCACCATTCGCGCCAGCATTGGCACATACCCCAACACCACCAACACCAATGATCACCAGCATCATGCGCAAACGCCAAACACACACCAGCAAGTGCTGACGTGGCACAAATGCTTGCAGATGACACCAGGACGCCGAAGATGAGAAAAGGATGAGAGGCGGCACTCATTCTCACTTGCACACAGCACATGTAGACTCAACTCTGGATGGGGAGTTGCAGTGACTGAGTCTGTTGATCTTCCTTCAAGCTTGAGCCATGCTGATCCAAGTTGTTGCCCGCCGTTCGCAGTGAATGAGTGAGTCGATCTTTTTTTGACTCAAGCCATGCTGATCGAAGTCATTGTCTGCCGTTCGCAGTGTGTCGATCCTCTGTCGAGCTCAAGCCATGCTGATCGAAGTTGTTGCCTGCTGTTCACAGTGAACGCACTGCAGCTGATCTGACCTTCACACCTGAACATACCCTCACATTGCCTCTCTATGACTTGCATGTGCCACCAGCCTGAGATCATCCTTATGTGCGGACACCATATGCATACTCAGCGCCGGTACAACTCTATGCAAGATCACACCAACTGGACTCTGCGATTTTCCTTTATCTTGTTATCTTGATCACCCTTGGTACCACACTGTCTGTTGCTTCTTGACTTCTGCACCTTATGGCACTTCTGCCCCTTGATCCTCCAGTGTTACGTTACCTAAGTGACTCCGCAGGTATATACATCGTCACACCTCTCGTTGACACCTCAGTATTGTTTCCTAACTCTACTGAGGTGTGTAGCACTCTTGTATCTCACATACACGCTTACTGATGTATCCTAGCACTCGTTTCTCACTAGCACATATACACAATGACATCTGCATTATACTCCAATATTACAGATATCCAATCATATGATGTATCGTTTTATTTATCTTGCACAAAATCAAAAAACTGACACTGATTCATCAGCGGCTTCATAAAGATAGGTTGTGTTTTGCATTCGAGCGCATAGAGCAACTCCAGAGCGAGGGAGAAATAGACCTGGCATTCAAATGCCAAACTGTGGGAACATGGTCAAGGGTCCATGGGTTTGGAACTTCAGCTGAAGGAGATGGTGTTAGAATGATGACGATGTTGGGGACTCACTCCAAGTATATTGTGACATTTGCAGATGAAACCAGTGCAAAGAGAGAGAAGATGCCACCTTTTTTTATGATTACACTCAAGCCCCACACGATTGATGGAAAGGATAAAGAACCAGGGGGTACTGAGCTGCTGGCTGCTCTGCGCCCCCTGCATGATGTATGTTAACCTATTCACAGCTTCACAAATGCTCTAATATACATATAGCAGATAAAACAGCTTTAATCCAGCATTCCCTGATTGCATTGCACTTTTGGCCTGGTTGCTGTTCATACCAAATCGTACATTGCATAGCTGCAGCCACTTCTGCATCAGTTTCAGGGACAATGCCATATCTCTGCAGTGTATTTTAAGGGAACGAAATTAGAGGTACAATGAACCAGCCACTCACATTGTCATCTTGAGCGAGAGGTACATCGACGGTGCACATGGAACTTGAATGTCCTCCAGAAAACAACTTCTTGAAGTTGAAATTCCAGTGTCGGGACTGTCGTTCAATTGGTTTGGATCCATTTGCAGGTCGTGTGCTGAAATGTATGTGAGTGAGTAAATGACATCAATGAACAAGGGACAATGGACTTGCAGCAGGAGCCACACAACGAGATGTGTGGTCTGATTCGTTGCCAAAGAAATCATTGGCCTGTATCTTGGTGTCAGGCGAGAAACTTCAAGAACAAGAAAGTACACTGACATATCCTGCCAGTCATGTTTTTTTGGCCTGCTGATTAGACACAAGATGGGGGTCAAAGGTCTGATGAGACATGAGAAAAGGTGGGGTTGCTCACGATTGGTGGGCGCACATCTCTCACTTTGGTTTCTTCCATGACGTGATCCAAGTGTTATTGTTGACGAAGTAAGACCGACCAAGCGGTGAGATGTGCCATTCCCATCCAGGAACAGCAAGATCTCCAGGATTGTCTATGTTCAATGGTGAGTTCATCACTCCTTGTTGCAATTTCATCCCTCACCTAGTCGCACTCCTGGTAAAGGTCGGTTCCACGAGAACATCGTGAGCATATCATCATGATATTGTATTGCACTATCCGACGATGGCATAAACTGTTGCCACATAGGAGGAAGCTCTTCATTCCCGCCTGATTCTAATTGACTAAGCTGGTAGGTATCACAAGGTACTGCTCACCTTCCCAAAGTGCGTCCTGGCGGTGCTGTGCACCATCATATGGTGGTGTATCTTGCACACTTGTCCGACATATCAATGAGTGCAATGGCGCTTCTCCTCATCTTGTTGACATGCTTGACTCAGCCTCTTCATACGGCATGACAAGGATGTTGGCACATTGTACAGACAGACTGGACAGTGAAACGCTGCGCGAAGTTGGCAATCAAGGGGAGGGAGAGATACAGGTTCGAGGTAATGAAGAAACCTGCTATGTAGGTCAGTTTTGCATGCTGCGCTTGCAGGCGCTTTTGCTGACACCGCATGTCAATGGCTGTGTTACCATCAGATCGAGTAGTATTTACCTTGGTCTGGTTCAAATTTTGAGGCAGTTCAATGTACATCTAAAAATCCGACTTGGTGGAAATGTAGTTTGAAACTCTTGCAAGACTCTCTTCTGCTCGTGAGAGTTGCCCTTTTGGTGTAACGGTTATGCGTGGCGGCGGTCTGACCATGTTACATATACTGGTTAGCACGAAATTTAGTTCGTAAATACCTGGTTTTCGGACAATCGCGTATCACGTGATTGACTTTCACTTGTCACATGACTCTAGTTTCTGAAGTCTCAAAGTTGACATGGACACGCTAAGCTTTCTCTATCTTCTATTTCTTCGTAAGCTCTAGATGCTGCCCGTAACTGTGGAGGAGAGCAAGGCCCAGCGCCTTCAGAGACAGCAGGCACGATTTAGGGATCGTGGAGGGTCAGCACACAGTACCTACTACCTACATGTACTAAATTCACCCCAATCGCTCTCTGCAGTGCATTTGTTCCCTCGGAAAAGAATGTCCTCAAAGATATCCTGTTGGCCCGCACCGTTTCTGGAGAGTCCCCTTCAAAAGTGGCCATGAAGTCACCCTATCGCCACCGAAGCCGTAGCACATCTCCATCAAAGGCCAAACGCAAGAAGACGGCCAGTAAAGCCCAAGGGAGTCCTATCAATGACAAGGTTTCACGCTCAAAAGTCAACACGGAGGCGCCAGCGGGTCTGGTCAGTAGAAACGCTGCGGCAGGTGCGTATCACTACTTCACGCGCAACGTCATCGATCAATCATTGTGCAGGTCCCTCTACTGAGTCCGGGGGTAAAATCTCGAAGGTGAAAACAAAGAAGAAAGCAGGTCCTACTACTCGCAAGGTTAAAGACAAGGTCAAAGCTACTGACGGTTAGTTTCTCTTCCATTCTGTTCAGATTATTTCCCATACCACTTGTCAGGCAACGATGTCTCAGAAGCAGAAACAACCAAAGTCAAACCTGCCTCTAACCGCCGAGGACGGCCGCCGAAAACCAAATCTCAAGCTAATGATTATGGCACGTTCATCATCATTATCTTTTTGCATATGTAGACGATCATTCACCCAGATCTCCACGCTGATCCTGAATCATCAAACCGCAAGACGCGGATGTCAAAGGAAAAGCCACCCGACATACCTAAAGTCAAAACTAAGGCAGAGGCGCCTCGATCAGACGACGAAGGCACCCTGGTAGAAGCTCCTCGACCAAAGACACACTCTAAAAGGAAGCCTGTCGTCGTCACAATCGAACCCGACGATGAGGATACGCCCATGCCTGACAACAAACCTGCAGCCGCTGAGCCTTGGGCGGTTCCGAAGTCTGCTCACAAACGGCCTTCTGCCAAAGATGCTCCACTCAATCGGGCACAAGCCAAACAACGCACGGAAATTCGCAAGGAGCACTCGGATGAAGGTAACATCTTTATACATGTATGAAACACTGCAAACATCATATCAACACCTTCATTTAACAGCAGAGCTGATATATGCTTCTCGGGTACCGAAATGTTCGAAGCGGACGGAGGTCGACGAGGAGTCTCCAGATTTGGTGAAAACCAAAGTTTATGGATCTCTGACCGTTGATATCCCCATGAAGAGGTCGACCATTAACCCCAAGCGCAGTGCACCTGATGACGATGTTAGTGGAGATGTGAAACAGCCTCTCAAGAAGCCGAAAGTGTCCAAATCCCAAAGCGCTAAATCTTTGCTTTTATCTAACTCCGTTGCGGTATCGAAATCTGATCCCGAAGACACTGCTGTCAAGAAACCTCATTCGGCTATGAAACAAGACACAAAGAAGAAGAAGGCGCACCCACAGGAATCAGATGACGAAGATCACATGCCTAAGAAACCTGTTTCAAAGAAGGCAAGATTTGATGAAGAACCGAAGCCAGGGTACGTCCTATTGCAAAAACTGGTCGAGCGCTCCCATAATCTGCGACTTCAGCGTGCATATTTCCTCAGAGAAACACAAAGAGAACGCCCTTTCATCGAGAAAGCCGAGGACGGGGAAGGTCGGTTTTATTTATATAACTAGTGTCCTAATCTTTTCTCACAAGCCGATTTATAGCCCAATTCCAAGTCAAAATCCAGAGGTCCGCCAAAGGATGTCCTAGACCGCATTAAGGCAAGCGCTACGTTGCATCGAATCGACGATAGCGAGCCGGACCCGCTAGACTGCCTGTCATGACCATGTTGAATATTGTTCGCTCACGAAGAAATCTGCCATGTATCAATCATATACGTACACTTACTAACACACTAGCCAACCGATATGTAGTATCTTCAGCAATGTTGTCAATAATATTTGCTTTGTCACATCTATCACCGTTGATACACCGGACAATCACTGCTCGGTATACCCTCTTGCAAAGTGTGTAGGCGCCGGGGTGCAGGTCACACTTTAAAACCGGGAGGTGGGCTGAGACGGTTGTATGTTTTCTGATGGGTCTGAAAACTTCAGGCAGCAAAATGGCCGCAACTGGCAGGTGCATTATCCACCCATCACTGACGTGTAAATCTACGCAATCGATGCTTCGAAAGGAGAAGGCAGTACCAATGAACATTCTCATCTATGTTCTATACAGTGCCAGATGCAGCGGGAAGAACAGCATCCTCGTCACGACCTAATGTGGTATATAGCATGAGTGGGATCGAATGAAAGGAAAAGGAGTGAAACTCGCCCTCATAGAACTTCTGCAGGAATGTTCGGTGTGGCCGTTGGTTATTTTGGAGTAGAATCCCATATATATGGTCCGGTTGCTTCCAACAGTTCAACGTCTCCTGGAATTCCTGCTGGCCCTTGAGCAGTAACACCTCGATGGCGCGCTGGTCTGTTACATGGCGGTTCTGCTCAAACTTCTGGCGAATTGATTGGCGCAGGTAGGTTGGAGTGACGTTCAACGCATAGATTGTACAAATCTCAGGAACCTTGAAGATCGTTCGGTTAATGTCGGGTAGGTAGGTAGCTCAGTCGGTAGCAAACGTACAGCACGGACCCATGCCCTGTATAGGTCAATAACTCGAAGGCGCGCTTCTGCGCGGCTACTTGAGATGCGCGTCATCTGCGCGAGTCGGGAGGGTATTGTGGTCATGGTCGGCCTGAACTAGTAACTAACAGCGTCGTTGTTGCAAAGCGGCTCAGCGGGTGGAGCTGCTGACATAAGCTTTTCCTAAGTTCATTTGAGTATTGTTATCCAGGCTCCTTCCCAACCACTGCTTCGAGTGTGGAAGGGCTACATCCGAGGTCACATGATACAACAAAATTTCAAACCCAGCATAACCTTATTCCCCTCACACTCTCAGCAGCGGCTGGAAGATAACATTTGTAAACAACGTCAGCCACAGTGGCTGAACCAGCGGAACGCGAAATTTATTCATGTAGAACGAACTTAGGGTTAGAAAGACGCAGGTATTTTTGTATTAGAAAATTCGTGCTACAATTGAGTCCGGGACAGTAGCACATTAATGTCACAGTTGATGTTGACAGTCGTACAATGGAACATTCATTTCAATACCTATTGACTACATTTGAAGATGCTGGAATCAAGCCTTTTCAATTCTTCTCAATGCTACTCACTCGCCAGGAGCTCAACAACCATCCACATGTCCATGAACTCCTTGTACATTCAGAAGACTTAATCGGTGCAATTATCAAGCATCCTTCGAGACCATATAACTCAGTACACACGGTGACCCAACTCATAAAAGGGGTATATGTCCGTGAAGTGCGCACCATGGCTTCCGAAGAAAATGGGTCGCACTTTGGGGCATCAAGTGCAAACATGCAACAACTCGAAGAGTTCAGTATCGAGGAGACCGCACAGACAATGAAGTCTAATGCACCAGGATTGTGGGGATTGCTTGGGATTCTACTCGGCGAGGATGAGAGGTTGGGAAGTAACGAAGACGTGGTCATGAGCAATGCGGAAGAAGTTGTCGATGACTATTATTGGGATCAGGTGGAAGCAATAGAACTCGAGGGGTTCATCAATGCACTCACCTCTGAAGGGGATACAGTGGCCTTGAAGCGAGATATTCACACAAATAGACGTGCCGCTATATGTAACATTGTCAGTATAATGCCTTGCTCGCATGTCAATGTCTTAGATATTAATTAAATCAGAAAAAGGTCGTGATTTTGAGTATCATGATGCAGAGTATGAACCGGAAATCCAATGCACTACAGAGCATCATCGGGATATTCTTGCAGTCAATGCACACACCGCAAAATGTCGTCGACACTCTCGCTCGCATCGGAATATCAATATCCACAGATGCCATTCATGCTGCAGTGAAATCTATGTCAGCCGAATCACAAAATGCGATGCGAGAACTTGGTCAAAGTCTCCTCGCGTCATATGCCTATGACAATTTTGATGTTGACCTCAAATCTCACCTTCCTGTCGTGGAAAAATCAAATGATTCACTGAAACACCTTACCTCCGGCCTAATGTTTCCGCTGCGACATGGTATAACTATTGATGATTTGAAATGCTCCGAAGAGCTCTGGAAGCAGTCAGCTTTGAATACTCAAGCAATAGAACAGGACTTACCTCCCCATAGAACTTGGAAGGATCTTCTATCCATCCACTCCAAGTCCGAAGTCACCCGAAACCTAACAAGACGGGACCGTTTCAACGCATGGTTATTCTTGATGGATCTATGCACTCACGGACCAGAGTATTTCCACCTCTTCAAGTCGGAGATACCCCCACCTGAAGTTATCGAAGAAATACCCTTACACAAAACATCAATCACAGCTGCTCGGGCAATGGATATCAATAATTCAACTGTTAGTGGGAACATACGCGCAGTCACAGAACTTCTAGCGCAGGGAGGAATTTACGATCCGGTTGGCTCTGAATTAGAGTCACCAGATATCTCCCAGCACGTAGTTCTAATTCACGGAGACCTTGGAACAGGTGAACGTCTTCAAGCGGCACAAATACGGCGCTCCATCGAGGCCACCCCATGGGACCGGTTGCAACACATTATTTTCATTCCCGGTCTTTTCCATTTGAAGATGGCATGTGCCGATGCCATCTGGCGGTGTTTCCTGCAACCATTATCAGCAAGAGAAGACGATACTAGTCTTATGCGAGACATCACGCAACTTCGACCCAGGGAGACTGGAATATACTGTTCCAAACCAGGATTTCGACGGATGCATGTACTCATCGGCAGTTCCGGCACCTGTCGTCGGCTCGATTGCTGGCGGATCCATGTGAAAAACAAGTCTCCTGCTTATAGCAGCCTCGAGGAGTTTGCAGCATCTAAACCTGTCCTGAATGAGTTGATAAAAATGGCAGATGAATTGGCGCAGACTTACGTAGCAAATTATAAGCTCCACCGCATCCGTCGAAGGCCAGAGGAGGAGCGAGATGTCCAATTTGAAAACTCGCTCTTGATGAACAAATACTTCCTACTTTACGAGGAATTATCATATGCAATGAACCGTGGGGACATTGGACGCACCGAAACATGCATAGTTGCATGGATCCCTATACTCAAAGCGACGGGCAAGCACAAGTACGCCACGCACATGTCGAATTTCCTCATTAATCTTCACTTCGTATATCCGCCTGGACTCCGGTACGTTTGTCAACCGGTTTGTCAACACATGGTACTGATCTCACGAGGCACTAGACGCGCAATACGTTACCATATTCTTGTTAATCCCACCGGCAAGGAAACGAGTTGGCGTGCTGTCGACTGGTGTGTTGAATTGAACAATTTGTTTACAAAGGTCAAAAATGGCGGCAAGGGACCCAACCGCACCGTCGAGCGCATTTTCCTCGAGTCCCCACTGGTACATGCATACCGGAATGCTCAGACAATGATACAAAAGAATTTTCTACTTGCGCACCTCACGGCAAAACACGCTGGACCAAACATGAGGAAAACATTTGAATTACTATCTATTCAGCTCGCCAAACAATCCCCACACATCCCAACACCCAGCAGGAAAAAGTCGGTTTCTGATTCTTGACTTGATTGACAAAGGAAGGGAGATGATGGAAAAAGCCACACGAGGCGAGGTAGACGAGGAAGAAGAGGGTATGGATGCAGGAGAGGGTAGAGCCGATTTAGACGATGTATTAGTCGAGCTGGTTTATTAAGCGAGACGCATTGTTATTTTCTTTGTTCGGTCCAGCATGAGACGGGTGGCTTGGACAAACACGATTGCGCGCTGTTAACGAATGAATATTTTAGAGAATTTGAATGCAAACAGCGAGACACTCACCATTGTGGCCCTCTTGACCGCAGGCGCTACATTTGTTCTTGCGCTTGGGAGCATTGGAAGTTGTAGCAAGACAAGGAGATGGCGTGGATGGTGTTGGAGGAGGAACATTGGTGTTGGTAGCGCTGGGTGTGCGGCTTAGAGGAGTCATAGCAAAAGGGCTTGCACCAGGTGGTGCAAGCGTTTGAATAAGTAATACGACCTCGTTTCCAAACCTATCCGCATCCGTCCACCCTATCTCCTTCTTCAGCTCAAGCATGCTGTGAATTTTGCGATGATGCGCGCAGTCAACGATGCGATCTAGCATGGAGTTGGGTAGGACAACGGAAGGGCCGAGGTCACTGAGATGAGCCCAGCTGTATGTTGATATGGTCTTCTCCTCACGCCAATCATAAAGGGCGTCCAACAGCGCAAGGTCAGACACTTCTTGTTTGTACTTGGGAACGCGGGAACGCCGGGTTGTGGCAGAGAGTTCATCAGTTGGGGAGGAGTAGGTAGAAAAGTGGTCAGGATGGTGAATGTCGCAACAAACCATGGGCTGTGAAACCATGCAGCGTGAGCAGCCTAAGATATGGTCTGGGTCACAATCGAGGTGGTCAAAGTCTGAGAGGGCGTGAGTGCGGTCCCTTTCAATTGAATAGAAATTTCTCACCAGCCGCTTCATTATCAAAGCACACATTAAAGACCTTCCTTCTACACGTCAATCCTGTACGTTTATCGGCATTAATAAGGTAATCCACGCCGGGATCCAATTCCCTCTTCTTCCTCTTTTCAGCTCTGGTTACATGGTGAGCGTTTGCCATTACATCCTTCAATTCCTGCAAACTATTCACGCTTTGTATATTAGTGTCATCAAGCTCGATATCGTAATCTTTGTCATTGACGACTCGAGAGGACGGAGCTGATGGGGGGACATTGGCGGGTACTTCTGAGAGAGCAACTGTGCGACGCTTATTGTTTCGTGCCTCCAGTAAGTCTGCTGCTTTGCGTTTGCGAGTGTTCTCACGTTGTGTTTTTCTGATGGCCCGAGCCTCCCGCTCGTCATCAAAGTGCTCTTTCTCAGCGAAGAGCAACCCTGTGCCCATCAACTGCTTGTTTCATGCAGCGCGCCCCAAACGTTGCCATAACGTGGCAAGGTGGCACGTTGCCCGCCATTGGATGACGATCTTGATATCCGGAACATCCATACCCTTTAAGTTGTCAGTAAGTTATTGTTTGTTCTAAGTTTTTTGTGTCTTACCATTCCGAAGGAGTCGGTTGTACAGAACCCCCATGTTTCTCCCGATACAATGTTCCCAAGCTTGGCATCCTTGTAAGTACTCGACATGTCTGAATTGAACCATTTAATTTTGTCGCGGAACTCAGAAGGCAGACGCTTGCGAAGCGAACGAGCAGCATTGATGGCATCCTGTATGTCGTCGAAGAAAATGAGGAATTTAGGGGGTGGTTGATCGCCTCGTTTCCACCCAGCCGGTATCAAGAACGCTAGATCAGCGTAGCTGTGAAGTGCGTGAATTATTTTTTTGACTCCAAGCTTAATATTCGGTCTATCCGTAGAACACCGGATAGTCGTCAACTTGTCAGCCCGCATGTGAAGGAGGCGTACCGCATTAGAGAGTGCGTGTTTGGTGAGTGTTGCGGATGTAATCATGATAGGGACTGCTGGAGGCAAGATATAGCGGAGACGTCCAAGCTCCTTGTACTCTGGCCGAAATTCTCCCCAATCGGTAAGACAGTGTGCCTCGTCAATGATGATACTGATAATGCGAGAGCTGAACAAGTCATCCTTTAGTAACCTTTCAAACTCTCCATTCGGCTTCATAATCTGTTCAGGGCTAACAGGAACCGCTTGGTACTGGAGTGCACGAATTGCCTTTGGGTATTATTCGGTGAGTAAAATTTTGTGGTTAGAAATCAGACTCACAGCGAAGTTTGCAGTAGTCGCAGTCTCGCTGCTTATCGAGATAGCTCGTATGCCTGCCTTGGCAAGTGACGCGGCATTCTGCTTCCCAAGCATATTCAAAGGTGTGATGACAATTTGTATGCCCTGCCGGAATAACAATGGTATCCAGAATCCAAGTGTCTTGCCCATTCCTGTGCCTGCAGTACAGAGCACATCATGGTCCCCTTTTAGCAGCGCTTGTGCGACCTTCACTTGCCATAAACACGGTCTGACTCCAAATTTTTGCTGCGTGACAGACTGAATCTGACCTAAGGAAGGAATATCCGAACTGATTGTGAGTGATGGAATAGGAGCGGCCGAAGCCATTAATGGCAAATGTGTGTTGCTACATCTACGTAGCACGAATTTTCTAATACAAAAATACCTGCGTCTTTCTAACCCTAAGTTCGTTCTACATGAATAAATTTCGCGTTCCGCTGGTTCAGCCACTGTGGCTGACGTTGTTTACAAATGTTATCTTCCAGCTGCTGCTGAGAGTGTGAGGGGAATAAGGTTATGCTGGGTTTGAAATTTTGTTGTATCATGTGACCTCGGATGTAGCCCTTCCACACTCGAAGCAGTGGTTGGGAAGGAGCCTGATTGTTATCTATCTTATCCGCCTGAAAGCGATTCTTCTGATCTCTTGACTCCTCACAACATCACACCCAAGAGAATAAGATGGTCAGAGGCTCAGGTAACAGTCAATTTTGACTGGATTAGAGATTCGTTTCTTGAATCCTTATCGAACAGGTAAATTTAAGACCAAGCGTGGCGGAGGGAGGAATTTCAGGTGCAATTCGCCCACCGTTGTCATCCCATCGTCAACGCTGAATAGCGTTGTTTAACTTAGCAAACACCTGGAAATAGACGAGAACGGAACTGCTGTGTCGCTTGATAAACGATGGTGAGTTTTTCATGGGAGATAATTATGGAATTCGGTTCAATAGTTTGTCCTGATCAGGGCTCCTCGTGATCAAGAGGGCGAGACCGACTCAGACGAAGAGAACAAATTAGAGGAAGAGGAGGAGGAAGACGAAGAGGAAGAAGAGGAAGAAGAAGAAGGGGCCAGCGGCAGTGTCGCACAGCCTGAGCTAAGTCGTGCCGAGCGAAAGGCGCTCAAGAAGAAACAAGCGGACCAGAAACAACAAGCGGAGGGAGAGAGTGACACAGATGCAGATCTAATAAATCCCAACCATGTCGAGAAGAAGATGAATATATCTGATCTTGGCGCACCTCGAGAGCTAACTCGTAGAGAAAGGTGAGTATCCACATCTCGGAAATAATGTCACTGACTGTCTATTTCTCAGGGAGGCGAAGGAGAAACAAGAAGCCAAGGATCGCTACTGGAAGGTCAGTTTGAGCAACATATCATGTCTTCGTTCAGCTTACTCCCTCGACTGTAGCTACATGTTGCTGGAAAGACCGATGAAGCAAAGTCAGATCTCGCTCGCCTTAGAAAGATCAAAGAGGAACGTGAGGCTGCTCAAGCCAAGAGGAAGGCTGAAGCCGAAGGTTCGCTGCGATGTCTACCCAAGTCATACATAATGATACTCACTATCCCGCAGCAAAGGCCGCAGAGATAGAGGCCAAGCGCAAGGCAGCCGAGAAGAAGCGTACTTGATTTGCTCACGCTCCAATCGTGATAAGACACTGATAATTAGTCTGTGTACTGCTTGCGTGGCATTCTGTAACTGTAATCATCCTGCGAATGCGCTAAGTAACCAGAGGGAATTTGCACAGTGCACGCTGTGGAAGTTATCTGGGCGACACTCATCCGGCCACCAAGGCCGAAGAAGCACGGAAAATGTGGAGCACGCAGGATAGTGAAGAGGTACATGGGCTATATACTGCACGATCCGCTATTCACTCGCATTTCAAATGGCTCTTACGAGCGATGTACCACCACGCACGCTTGCGCTCGTGCTTTGCGTTATTTCTGGTATCAGTGTCACGGGAGTGGTCGTGACGCTTTTTATGCCACTTCTTCCGGAAGACGGAGATAGGTTCGATCGTGCTGCGAGGATCATCTCAAGAGGGTGTCTTGTTGTATTGATAATCGCGATGCCGATCGTGAATCTTGTCCTTATATATTTTGGTATGTGTGGATACATCGATGTGGGTGGAATATGGATGTTTCGTGGTCAACGACAGTTGCCATCGCTGGGGATTCGACAGCAAGGCAATTTCGCACTGCGAGTCTTGCAGCTTGGACAATCGTTGCATCTTTAAGGGTTATTGCTACGTTAATCATCATTGTGAGTCTCGTATTCAAGTTTCTATGGTGTTTCTGATTGACGAGCGTTTTTTCATGCAGCTGTTGTACCTTTACTTCCTGAGAGCGTATTCCCAAGCGAGGCATCCTTCGAGATATACCAGAGAGACGTACTACTAACCGTCATTAATGGCCTCGAAGGGTGTTGTAAACTCACCTGTGTCCACTATGGAATCATCGATCGCATTCTCGGTAAACCAGATGCCCAACTCACGAAAGAAGCTCTTACAGTAGGCCTCGATGAAAGGCAGGCCTCGATGATGAATTACAAGCGCTTGATGATCCCGAGATGGTGCGTTCCATCACGTCCTATTATCGAACGGTGATTATACTCCCATGGATTGATTGGTGTTCGATCTAACAAATGGTATGACACAGACCTAACGAAACAAGGGATATGGCAACCTCCCCTTCTTCCCAAGTTAACCTCCAACCAAACATAAGCCTCCCCACCTCAGAAAATGCACCACCCCCAATCCACGCAAATTCACATGCTTCGATGCTCTCTGATCCAGCGTCTGTCTCTACTTCTCCTCTAACGCTCGCTAAGATTCAGGAGGAGGGAGAGCAAGTGGGGTCTTTGCTCGATGTGTTGATATCAGCCCTGATCGAACCTGTCCCATTCGGTGTTGATATAAAGATGACGATTTCAGGAGAATATTGTTAGGTGAGTGCGATCCCAATCGCACCTTTCCTTCTTTCCGCTCCCGTATTGAATTGTGGATTGACGAGTGGGGAGTGAGAGGAATTGAGCGGGGCTGTGAGGTCACAGTGCGATGCGTGCGGCAGGTGCGATACAGCTCGGGGTTGTACGTGAGGTGGAATGAAATGGCATTTTTTTTATTTTGTTTCAATAGCATTGTACTGGACTTGATGTTAATGTATTCTGATATCAGATGATCGTTCGTTAGTGATAACGCCACTTTAACCCAACGGGTCACGAAGTACTCTGGTTTGCATCGACACCTATATGATACTCTCAATTCCCGAATCCATCTTCATCTTCGGTATCCAGTTTCGATAACTGGTATCAAGCTACTTGCGATTCGGACGATAAAAAACCTCGATTAGCGATGCTTTGGTAGGTACCGGCATCCATTGAGCCTGACTTGATAGCTATGATAGGGAGATATCCTTAGGGTCTTTTTCTCTGCTCCCGTATCAAGTTGTTCATGTTCGTTGTTGAAGCTATGTTGCAGCTAGGATTTTATACATGTTCGTCACGAATTGCAACGGCAACTTTGAGCTGCAGAAATGAATTAATAGCGTAGATTGCAGACAGAGGTGACGAGTTGTATGGTATCAATATCGTACATAAAAGACGGCTCGAAATACATCAGAAAGAGTAGGTAAAGCATATCAAGGTCGTCGAGAGATGGAACAGCATGCGACTTGTGAAGGATGAGGAGATTTAATGATGACCGTCTGTATATTCAGGAGAGAGACAACCGAGAAAAAGCCAGAAGCGAGTCCAAAGTCCAGCCTGTCTGATCGTTGCATCTGGGCGCGAGGTCGTTGAGGTCGTGGCTATGCCAGTAGCATCGCCAACGGGAGGTGTGGAGGATGAACCAGAGATCGCAGCCTGTTGTTGCGAAGATGACTGGGTGACATTGGGTTTTGGAGGCCGTGAGCTACTTGCGGTAGTAGGGATCTTCGGAGGAAATAGGTTTTTCCGTTTCTCCCTCGCGCAAGCATTTCTCTAGGTGAAATTAGGTGGTGTAGGACGATCAAGGAAGAGAAGGAACATACGCGTTTGCCCTTCGCATACGGGACCTCAACAACTGCGGGACTGGGTCCTTGAGACTCGATGCCCTCGCCTCTTTGTCTGCGCTGTTTCAAAATGTTTCGAGTCCAGTCGAGAGGAGAGGACAGTGGTGTAGCACGAGCACTGGAGGGGCTGCGGTTGCGGTGGAATAAACGGTCGAGAAGTGTGCTGCCAGGTGATACTGAGGAGGCGGCACGCCTTCGTGCAGAGGACTGAGAACATGCCAGAGGTCAGGAAATAAAATAAAATAGATAGTGAATCCTGTTGACATACATGGGAACGATTTGGTGGGCTTCCGTCGAAAAAACCCTGGGGTATCCGATAAGCAGGCGGACGTCGTTGGACCGGAGGTGGTGCAGCACTAGCCTAGAGTGTATATAGTTAGAACAACAAGATCTTTTGATGAAAGTGTCGCGTACATGGACTGCCAACTTGTTGGCCTGGCAGAGCGCGTTCAGTTGTGAAAATATACAATGAGGTATGCATATCAACTCACCTTTGGATCCGAAAGAAGGTCGTCGAGGCCGGCCTCTGTAACAATCGCAGCAACACCCCATGTGTACGCGTTTTTGTCCCGGCAGCCAGTGGATATCAACTTTCCATCTTCCGAAAACGATATGGACTCAATCCAGTGTGCGTGCCAGAGAGGCGGACCGATGAGTTGTCCATTGTCGAGGTTCCACAATAGCACTGTATGGTCTAATGATGCGCTTGCGAGGACGCGCTCATTAGGTGATATTGCAATGGCACAGACCGCGGAAGTGTGCACTTCCAGTGGTGCGGTTTGCTTCCATGTTTTGGTATTCCATTTCCTAATCGAGCAATCGGATGACCTGGAGATAAGAGTTTTTCCGTCCTTGGTCCAAGCCAGGCAAGTCACTATATTTATGTCCTTTGAGAGTTGCGACGAGCTCGCCTGTCTTTGTGTCCCAGATTTTGATGGAGCACTCGATGGGTTCAATTGGTCCTTCAGTCCGGGGCCCATCATATCCACCAGTCGCAATCATGGACATGTCTGGTGAATAGACCGCTGCCCACACGTAGGTGTGCCCAGTCTTGGTTGGCTTGAGGATTATCTCCCCGCTTTCGACGTCCCATTGCCTCGCAGTCCCATCGGAGGATCCACTTAACACTCTTCGACTATCTCGACTCCAGCAGACAGATAACACTCGTTGTGTATGCCCCATCCATCTAGCGATGACTTTGCATGTGTCGATATCCCACAACCTCACTCCGCCGTCCTGACTCCCGCTAACCACTTTCTTCCCGTCCGGAGACAATGCTATACAGTACACTCCACTTTCTCCGTCTCTCCAGTCTTCTCCTATCTGTTTCCCGCTCTTCAAGTCCCATACTCGCAGCGAGCCGTCAACTGAACAAGTGATGATCTGCTGTCCACCTGGCAGGTGTATGGCGCCTTCCACTATGTCAGTGTGTCCTTTGAATTCCTGGTGGGGTTTTATTGCTAATATCTCTTTCGGTTTAGCAGTCGGTGAAGCCATACTCCAGAATTTCAACTACGGAGTGCAGCCCCGTGTCAGCTTTCATCGATCAATTTCAAGACCTATCACTTACAAGGAGGTCTCTAAGCAGCGATTCACAGGTAGCAGGGAATGATGGCTTTGGTGGAAAGTCACAGTTGAATCCACTGCTTCCTGGTACGTTGTTGAACATGCTGTATCCTCGTGTTCGCTTCACAGCTTATACACAGCATAGGCTGTGCACCTGAGGCGCCCAAGTATCATATGATCACATTTAGTGAAGCTTCAGTCCATGATTATCTGGTTCTCAACAACTATGGAAGGCGAGAGGCCGTTGGCTGCCAAGGATTCTCATGGGTTCTCATTGTCAGCTGCTGTCGAACGCGACGATGAATTACATCGCAGTGGCTTGCGTTGCCTATATGCTAGCAACATATAATCGGCACTGAATTCTCTCAAACTCACTGGTGCTTCAAGTTAGAGTCGTCCTCTACCTCCAATAAGGACGTACATCAGATTAGCAACATCCTACGAACAAACAGCTAAGGGATATTCCCTACCACGCACTTCATTCTTCTCTTCTAGCTGTACGATATTCCTCCCGGTGATTGAGACAAGGTACTCGAAACCGCGATTCCGAACAGACAGGTTCTGTTTCGCGCGTCGAGAATTGGGTATGAGTAAGGTGGTGAGTTTTTCATGGGAGATAATCATGGAATTTCGTTCGATAGCCTGTCATGATCGAGATGGCGACGCCGACTCAGACGAAACGAACAAATCGGAGAAGAGGTGAAAGAGGAGGATGATGGAGAAGAAGGGGCCAGCAGCAGTGTCGCACAGCCTGAACTAAGTCGCGCTGAGCGAAGGGCGCTCAAGAAGAAACAAGCGAGGGAGAGAGCGATATAGATATGCAGATCTAAAAACCTCAACCATGTCGAGAAGAAGACGAATATATCTGATCTTGGCGCACCTCGAGAGCTAACCCATAGAGAAAGGTCGGTGTTTACGCCTCAGGAGTGTCACTGATCGTCTATTTCTCGGGGAGGCGAAGGAGAAACGAGAAGCCAAGGGTCGCTTACTGAAAGGTCAGTTTGAATTGTCGAAGTATATATCATGTTCTGTCTTTTAGCTCACTCCGTCGACTGTACCTACATGTCGCTGGAAAGACCGATGTAGGCAAGTCTGATCTTGCTCGCCTTGGATATCAAAGAGGAACGAGAGGCTGCTGAAGCTAAGAGAAAGACTGAAGCTGAAAGTTCGCTGCAATGCCCATACAAGCCATTTACAACGATACTCACTATCCCGCGGCAGAGATAGAGGCCAAGCGCAAGGCAGCCGAGAAAAAACGTACTTGATTCTGATATATCAATCGTTATCAAGACTCTGTAATGCATAGTCACTGTAGTCGTATGGAGCTACGTTTCCGCCTCGTCGATCGCCCATCCAGCCAACATAGTTGTAAGACCGCAAGGAATATAGAAGATGCAAGATAAAATCGCGAGGGAAGTGACCAAGGGACTGCGGGCAGGCATTGAGTGCACTTCTGGGAACCTCGGGGCACCGCGGCGGTTAGGGCTTTCCTCCATAGCCGCAAATAATCTGTCAAGCATCTTGTGAACATCCTCTAATGGTAAGTGTCTTAACGTTAGATCACCGCAACGTCCGAAAAACGCACGAGTTACCTTCCCGTGGGTCTGAGCCATGATACTGTAGTTTTCTGTTCTTTGAGAAATGCTCGCTTCTGGCAAACTTGAAATCTCTGTGCTCTCGCACACAAGTCCGTACAGTTTCTTCAAAAATATGAGCCTTGATGACGCGCCTATCGTGCGATGCAACATACCGTCATCAGATAGTGCCAAGAGAGCTGCCGCACCGCCAACAACACGGTAAGACCGATCATGCACCAACAATTTCAATATTTGCGAGATTTCTTCCAAGATGACCGAGCGAAACTCTTGCGAGACAAAGGTTCTTTCCGAAGAAGAATCCCGAATCCCGAAAAGAGTGTGAAGTGCCATCGCAGCATTGCTTTGTGAGGCCCACTTCTGGTGATCCAAGGCCGCCACTATGGCGCGGAATATGGGAATCTTAGCTTCTTTAATCAACTCTTTCCCATCGGCTTGATTTTTCTTAGCATATATCATTATGCAGGAAAACGCGTGCTCACGATAGTCGGACACGATGTCCAGGAAATCAAATGCTGCATGATTGAGCGCTGTATCACCCCTTTTAAACATAGTACAAAGGGCTGCCGTTGTGTGAGCTTTGAGGACAGCTGCCCTCAGTTCATCTATACAAGTGTCGAGGTCTCGGGAGGGGAAACGCAGCAGCGCACAAGCTTACCGTTGCTCATGAGGCGTCCGAGCACCTCTTTACCAGGTTCATTTTCGACCGTTGCGTTAAACAATCCTTGCTTGACAGCGCTGATGATATAGTCAGGTGCGGATAGCCTAATCATAGCTGTTCTGATGTTGTCTGAATTGCATTGAGGAAAATTCGATCATGAGGTCAGGTGAAAAACTGACCGTAGTCCAGGATGCGAGAGAATGCATAAGCCGCAAACAAAGACTTCTTCTGGTGTTTTAAATGATTGACCAACGTAACAACGACATCTTCCTCGATTGCCTTGTGATATCGTATGCGTGCTGAAAAACGCTTAGCAGCAGAAGAGTTGTTATGGTATTATCAAGACACTCACAATGCGGGAGAATCGACAACATCGCGAGAATAGCTCCGCTACTTGTTTCGGGCTTTCGACTTTTCATCAGCGACACCATGTCCTTGATATGTCCATTTTCAATCAAGTCACCCTGAACGTCAACTGGAGGTCCGCTAGTCAGGCGCTGTATGAGTGTAAGTGCATATGCCGCACCATAGTTCGCAAGTTGGCCAAGGATTTGGATGGCAGGATCCTCAATGTCAGTTAAGCGGTGTTCCAACATGTCGACCAAAAGTGCCAGAAACCCGCGTTCTGGGCGGAGTAATTGCTTACGGAATTCCTCTGTATCTTGCAATCAGCGTATCGATTGAGCGACAGTGACATGAGAAGCCTACCGTGCGTTGAATATGCACATATAACATTGCCCACCGGCGGCGAGATATAAAAGTCGTGTTGCTTCAAACGTTTGATAAGCGTGGGAATTAGAACCAGGACCTCAGCTTGCGCGTTTTCTGCAACGGGTTGTCAAGCACACGCCTGCATTGAAAGAACTACCGAAAATACCGTCATGGACAAGGGCAGCAAGTATGCGTAAGGCCGCTACCAAAATTTCTTCGTCTGCGATCGGTCATGTCAGCTTGACTGTAAGCGTACGTTCAGATCGAAACTCACGTTCGCTGCTAAGAAGATCGATGATGTCCTTTGCGGCCCTTTCCGTCACAGCTGGCCGATGCACACCTAGAATATCCCAAAGTCACAGAGTGAATATCGTTCCGGTAGGCTGAATTACGAACCATGGCCGGCAAGTAACGACAAAGTCTGCGATGCATGAATTTGCACCATCAACGATTCGGTTTCGGAGACCCCTCCAAGGTCTAGTACACGCTGGAATGTTGCTGCGCTCAAGATCTCATTCCCTTCCGGAGCATGCTTGACTAGGGCTGGAAGGGCTTTGCAGGCTCGAATCTGATCGATATCGTCCTTGCTATCCAGCATTTTCAACACATCAGTGGCTGCCCTCTGCAAGTATTCTGGGTCAAGTTCGGGCACTGCAGAGAGTGAGAAGACGTCCATGCAATTCACCATGACTTACATAGCTCGCTTAATGCAACGGTAGCACTGATACGTACTTTCGGATCATCGCTGTGACAGACCAACTTATTCAACTGGCTCTCCCAGCTATCCGATTCTTTAATCGCAGCCCTTCCTTGTTCTGTGAAGCGCTTAGAAGATAAATTACAATCAAGAAATACAACACCCACCAAATGAGGCCATGAATGCCAGTCGGTCAACCGCGTCGAAACACTCTACTCCGTGTAACTGGATATCTCTTAGAAGTGAGGGCACGGTTGATTCATCGAAGATGTCCTTCTCCCACAGCTGACCCAGTTTCGAAAGTCGTTGTTGGCTGGCTGGATCATTCCAGTACAGCAATTCTGGCCAGACGTCGAAGTCCTTCCAGAACTTGGCCTTGGCTCTATAGTTGCCTTTGAACAAGACAGAGGCGTGAATCTTCTGTCCGGGGAGGATCACCCGAGGCGCGCCACGATGTAGCCTTCAGGAGATTCTAATGAAATGGATGCGCAGCGAAAAGTCCACAGTACGTACCCGAACGCGTGACTATCTCGAGTGCCATAAACAACCCGCTTGACAGGAGCGAATTCGAGCATCCACCACATGCTCCTTAGTGATTCGTACGTCCTCTTCTGCAGGTCATCCATCTTCCAGACGACTTCGGTGGGCTTCATCCTCAAGCCTGCCTCAACAGCCTCCTTTCGCATCCATAGCAATGGAATGTCGCCTGATTGAAGCTTCTCGTTGAGTCGATTGCCTCCGCCACTGAAAATGTCCGTTATGAAATCAAGATGAGGAGATTTCAAGGCATTCAACATACACGTCCGAGTGACTACCTGCAAACCAGACCTCCTTGATGCGATCGGAATGGGATTCTTCTGTATTTGCACCATGTATATACTCTGGAAGGAATTTGACTCGCCGCTCATCCAAGGCAAGGGCATGCCTGAAATAGCACATATGGTGGCTGCCGTTAGTAGTCGAAGGTAGCGTCTTCCCCCTTCCAACGCCAACCGAAGAAACAGTATCCCTTGGCATAAATAAGTAAACACATCATCCATGGTTCAAAGGTGGATGTCTTACCATACGCCGATGAAATGAATATGGACGTGCGATCTGCAGAACGTGCCCTTGAAAGTTTCAGCAAGCTCATTTGCCCAGGTATGTTTGCGTGGAGATTGTATTCTCTCTGAGGCCTTTTCATCTATTTTCGAGTATAGCTCGAAGGCGCTAAATGTGGCCGAGATCAGAAGGGAGCGATGGCACGAGATGGGACTATGCTTACAATGGTATTTGCTCGTTGTTTCCGGGGAGGATCAATCCGACCTAGAGTTCAAAAAAATCAACATCCGTTTTTGGTCAGCGCCTCAATCCAGACGACTCACGCGGTGTATCATTCCAGCAATTGCTCGGGCCTGGTAAGCGCCCCTGGAAAACCCTATGACCAGTTGATATGACGCGAGGCATCATTGCATCTAGTAGCACAAGAACCTACCAAAAAGATAAATCCTATCACCATCGTCATAATTTTCTGATATCCATCGATAGGCTGCCAGTATCACGGTTTCGAGATTCCTGAATGATTGCTCAACAATGCTTATAGAGTTTAACCTTCTCACATACCAAGCTATAAGCAAATCCACCTTGCTGCTCAGCCAATACTGGACGTATGAGAGGGAGCGCCAGGACGGGCGTGCGTGCGTGCCCACCCCGCTGTTGTAATAAGTGAGTTGGTCTTCAGATTTGACAAGTTGGCTGTAGAGCTCGACGACATTGGTGTTCTGGTCAGCTGTTAGGCAAAGAAACTGGCTCCAGTAGATACGCACCTTGAGTCCAAACCGGTTCGATGATCCATCAATACAGACTACTAAATTCCTGCCCTCCTTGTACTTGGAGCGTAACGGACACGTGTATTTATATGTAGGGTAGCTTGTGGTTGTAGGACTCGGACAAGGTACATCAGTGGTAAGCAGCGACTCTCTGTCAGAGGGGAGCATGGTCAACGTTGGAGCTTCGCATGGGATTCTAGAACTTATTATGCATTTGTTGAGCAGGCAAGCGCGTGGCTAGTGCCCTTCTCGATGAAAGATCAGCGCCATGACCAATTCGAGGCCTTAATGTAGCATGGGAGACAGGCCTTGCAGTAAAACACACCCTTTTAGTCATTCATAGGTGAAATATGGATGCACAGATACTGAAACGTTAATTCAGACCATCACTAGGGTATGAGCCCAAACCGGAGCGTCCAGCAGAGCGTCGCGAGGCAGACCACGTTCTTAGCACCTGCTGCAGTCACCCGTCTCCTAGGATATGAGTCTGTCAGCTGGGATAGGAGGAACGCTAGGATGGCGGGGATGGCAGCGGTGTCGAACCCGCGGAAGTTCTCATCAGGGGGCTGCTGTTACCCCGATCGTGCTATGATACTATTGAGCCTATACACCTGATCGGGGTGCAGGCTCTGTCGTACGACTGCAACCGCGAAACGACAACCGGCTAGCTGCATCCAGTAGCCATGATCCACCAGCAGAATAGTACGGTTGGGGAGGTGGGACTGTGTAGTGACCTCCACGGCGTGGTGAAAACACCAGTGTAACTTAAAAGCCCTCGGAAACCTTGTCAGCTCTGCTTATTCTTCGATAAATGATAAATAACTTCGATTGGCTGAGACCATAAGCATAAAATTATGTATTGATTTTATCACTTGAAAGTTGCCCAAAGCACTCGCAAACGACTGTACATGAAGTGAGAATGTGGCATGTGCTGCATGGATGAACCTCGAGATTTGCACCAAATGTTTGTGACGTTCTCATCATTAAAATTCTCAAAATCCGATGTTGCCTTATTTGGACAATTTACTGTGCCACAAGCATATGGATGATGATACCCGGGTACCAGTGAAAACCCACCAATAAAAGAGAAAGACTGGAGCCAAAAGTACGTCGCAATGCCCACACAAACCAATTACAAAGATAATACCCCCACAACAAAGGTCACAGAGATAAACGCCAAGTATAAGGTAACCGAAAAGAAACGTACTTGATTCTGATATATCAATCGTTATCAAGACTCTGTAATCATGTGCACGCGAGTTACTTTTCCGCCTCATCGATCGCGAACCCGGCCAGCATGGCTGTAAGGCCGCAAGGAATGTAAAAGATGCAAGATAAAATCGCTAGGGAAGTGACCAAGCGACTGCGGGCAGGCATTGGGTGCACCTCTGGGAACTTTAGGACGCCGCGACGGTTAGGGCTTTCCTCCATGGCCGCATACAACGTGTCAAGCATCCTGTGGACGTCCTCTAATGGCGAGTTAGATCCCCGCAACGTTCGAGAAAAAACATAAGTTACCTTCCCGTGGGTCTGAGCCATGATACTGTAGTTTTTTGTTCTTCGCGAAATGCTCGCTTCTGGCCGATTTAAAATCTTTGTGCTCTCGCACAAAAGCCCGTATGATTTCTTCGAAAATATGAGCATTTACGACGCGCCTATCGTGCGATGCAACATACCGTCATCAGATAGTGCCAAAAGAGCCGCTGCACCGCCAACAACACGGAAAGACCGATCATGCGCCAACAATTTCAGTATGTGCGAGATTTCTTCCAAGATGACCGATCGAAATTCTTGTGTGACAAATTCTGTTTCAAAAGAAGAATCCCGAATCCCTACAAGAGTGTGAAGTGCTGTTGCAGCGTTCTTCTGTGAGTCCCACTTCTGGTGGTCCAAGGCCGCCACTATGGCGCGGAATATGGGAATCTTGGCTACTCTAATCAACTCTTTCCCGTCGGCTGCAATTTTGCTCAGCATATATCATTATGCATTGATATGCGTGCTCACGATAGTTGGACATGATGTTCAGGAAATCAAATGCTGCATGATTGAACGCTGGATCACCCTTCTTGAACATAGGTACAGAGGGCCTGCCGTTGTGTGGGCTTCGAGGACAGCTGCCCTTAGTTCATCTATACAAGTGTTGAGATCTCGGAAGGAGAAAAGCAGCGCACAAGCTTACCGTTGCGCATGAGGCGTCCGAGCACTTCTTTACCAGGTTCATTTTCGACCGTCGCGTTAAACAATCCTTGCTTGACAGCGCCGATGATATAGTCAGGCGCGGATAGATCAAGCATAGCTGTTCTGATGTTGTCTGCATTGTGTCAGGGAAGATTTGATCATGACATAGGTGAAAAACTGACCGTATTCCAGGATACGAGAGAATGCGTAAGCCGCAAGCAAACAGCTCTTCCGGTGTTTTAAACGATTGACCAATGTCACAACGACACCTTCCTCGATTGCTCTAAATCGTATGTGGGCTGAAAAAAGCTGAACAGCAGAAGAGATGTTATCATATGAGAAACTCACGATGCCGGAGAATTGACAACATCGCGAGAGTAGCTCCGTCACTTGTTTCGTGATTTCGACTTCTCATCAACGACACCAAAGCCCTAATATGTCCATTTTCAATCAAGTCACCCTGAACATCAACTGGAGGTCCGCTAGTCAGGCGTTGCATGAGTGTAAGTGCATATGCCGCACCATGATTCGCAAGTTGGCCAAGGATTTGAATGGCAGGGTCCTCAATATCAGTCAAGCGGTGTTCCAACATGTCGACCAAAAGCGCGAGAAACCCGCTTTCTGGGCGGAGTAATCGCTTACGGAATTCCTCTGTATACTGTGATCAGCACATCAATTAAGTGACAGTGACATAAGAAGCTTACCGTGCCTTGCATATGCACATATGACATTGCCCACCGGCGGCGAGATGTAGAAGTCATGTTGCTTCAAATGTTTGATAAGTGTAGGAAGTAGATCTATGACCATAGTTTGCGCTATATCTGCAACGGGTTGTCAAACATACGCTTGCGTTCAACGAACAACAGTAAATACCGTCGTGGACAAGGGCAGCAAGTATGCGTAAGGCCGCTACCAAAATTTCTTCGTCTGCGACCGGTCAGGTCAACTTGAATGTAAAAGCGCGTTCGGATCGAAAACTCACGTTCGCTACTAAGAAGTGCGATAATGTCCTTCACAGCCTTTTCTGTCACAGCCTTTTCCGTCGCAACCTTCTCCGTCGCAGCCGGCTGATGATCGTCTAGGATATTTCAGTCACAAAATAAGTATCGTTCAGATAGGCTCAATCACGAACCATGGCCGGCAAGCAACGACAAAGTCTGCGATGCATGAATTTGCACCATCAACGATTCGGTTTCAGAGACCCCTCCAAGGTCCAGTACGCGCTGGAATGTGGCTGGGCTCAAGATCTTATTGCCTTTCGGGGCATGCTTGACTAGGGCGGGAAGGGCTTTGCAAGCTCGAATCTGATCGATATCGTCCTTGCTATGCAGCATTTTCAACACGTCTGTGGTTGCCTTTTCCAAGTCGTCCGGGTCAAGTCTGGACACTGCAAAGAGTGAGAAGATGTCCATGCAATAGGTTCACCATGACCTACATAGTTCGCTTAGTGCAACGGTAGCACTGACGCGTACTTTCGGATCATCGCTGTAACGGACTAGCTGATTTAACTGGCTCTCCCAGCTGTCCGACTCTTTAATCGCAGCCCTCCCTTGTTCTGTAAGGTGCTTAGAAGATATATCATAACAAAGAAATGAAACACCCACCAAATGAGGCCATGAATGCCAGTCGGTCAACCGCGTCGAAACACTGCACTCCGTGTAATTGGATATCTCTTAGAAGTGAGGGCACGGTTGATTCATCGAAGATGTCCTTCTCCCACAGCTGACCCAGTTTCGAAAGTCGTTGTTGGCTGGCTGGATCATTCCAGTACAGCAATTCTGGCCAGACGTCAAAGTCCTTCCAGAACTTGGCCTTGGCTCTATAGTTGCCTTTGAACAAGACAGAGGCGTGAATCTTCTGTCCGGGGAGGATCACTCGAGGCGCGCCACGATGGAGCCTTCAGAAGATTGTAATGAATTTATCGATGCGCGGCGAAAAGCTTAAAGCACGTACCCGAACGCGTGACTGTCTCGAGTGCCATAAACAACCCGCTTGACAGGAGCGAATTCGAGCATCCACCACATGCTCCTTAGTGATTCGTACGTCCTCTTCTGCAGGTCATCCATCTTCCAGACGACTTCGGTGGGCTTCATCCTCAAGCCTGCCTCGACAGCCTCCTTTCGCATCCATAGCAATGGAATGTCGCCTGATTGAAGCTTCTCGTTGAGTCGATTGCCTCCGCCACTGGAAATGTCCGTTATCAAATCAAGTTGAGGAAATTTCAAAACATTTAACATACACATCCGAGTGACTACCTGCAAACCAGACCTCCTTGATGCGGTCGGAATGTGATCCTTGTGTTTTTGCACCATGTATATACTCCGGAAGGAATTTGACTCGCCGCTCATCCAAGGCAAGGGCATGTCTGAAATAGCACATATGGTGGTCGCCGTCCGTGGTCGAAGGTAGGGTCTTGCCCCTCACAACGCCAACCGAAGAAACAGTATCCCTTGAGATGAATGAGTAAAGAGATATCATCCATGTTCCAAAGGTGAAAGCCTTACCATACGCCGATGAAATGGATGTGGACGTGTGTCCTGCAGAATGTGCTCTTGAACGTTTCAGCAAGTTCACTCGCCCAGGCATGCCTGCGCTGAGATTTTCTCTTTGAGGCGTTTTCATCTATTTTCGAATATAACTCGAAGGCGCTAAATGTCGCCAAGATGAGAATTCTAGGCTGTGACGGCACGAGATGGGACTATACTTACAATGGTATTTGTTCGTTGTTGCCAGGGAGGATTAAGCCGACCTAGAGGTTAAAAAAAATGAACGACCTGTTTTGGTTAGCACGTCAATCCAGGCGACTCACACGGTGTATCATTCCAGCAAGTGCTCGGGCCTGGTAAGCGCCTCTGGAAAAGCCTGTGACAAATTGATATGACGCGCGGCATTATTGCATGTGGCACAAGAGCCTACCGAAGAAATAAATTCTATCGCCATCTTTGTAGTTTTCTGATATCCATCGATAGGCTGCCAGTATGACAGTTTCGAGATTCCTGAATGATTGCTCAATAATGATTGTAGAGTGCAATGGGCGGACGTACCAAGCTATAAGTAGATCCACTTTGTTGCTGAGCCAATAATGGAGATATGTAAGAGAGCGCCAGGACGGGCGTGCGTGTGTGCCCACTCCGCTGTTGTAATAAGTGAGTTGGTCTTGATCAGATTTGATAAGTTGGCTGTAGAGTTCGACGACATTGGTGTTCTGGGGAGTCGTGAGGCAAAGAAACTGGGACAAGTAGATACGCACCCTGAGGCCAAACCGGTTTGATGAACCATCAATACAGACTACCAAATTCCTGCCCTCCTTGTGCTTGGAGTACGGACACGTGTACTTGTATGTAGGGTTTATGGTGGTGGTAGGACTTGGACAAGGTGGATCGATGGTGCCGGGGAGCAGCGGCTGTATTGTTGAGGGGAGCATTATGGTTAGAGCTCCGCATGGGATTGGAGAAGTTATTATGCATTTATTGAGCGCTAGAATATCTGTTGGACTGATGAAAATTAGACACGCGCATGATTGTTAGTGCCGTTCTCGATCGAAGATGAGCGCCATGACCAATTCGAAGCGTAAATCTGTCTAACCCTGCAGTGAAGCGCTACATCCTTTATGTAAGACGCACAAATCACGCACCATTCAATCAGACCATTCTCGAACAAGACTAGACCGTTTGACGGTACGCGCGGCAGCTTCTCTCGTAAGTACCTAGTAGTGCATTCAAGGGCAAAGGTCCGATCAAGGCTTGCTCGCCGGTCAATGTATTAGGCAACTCAATGGCTACAAATTGAACTATTTCGGGCTAAAGGTGGGAACCGGACAGCTGATGCCCGGCGTCCTTCATGGCATCCTCGATCATCACCCGTGACTCGTGCACTGCCATCTTCTACTTCCTCGACCTGCGCTGGAACCGCGCGACATACATGTCATGTCATGGGCTATGTCTCTTATCACCGTCCTGGGCGATGTGTCCCCTTATCACCGTATATGAATTGCATCCTCGTTCGTGCTATAGCCACGATCCGTTTGATCTCTTCCCGCTATTTTCATATCGATAGACGATTCACTTGACCGCTTTTGTTTAGTAGCGGAGCGATACTAAGCAGCGGCACTCCATCTCACATCAACCTGACTTGTGGAAGCGGACCCGCGCGGTACAAATGTAGTCCGACAACACCTTGGAATCCTACCGCCCGCGCACTGAGCTGCGACCGGCTGCACATGGTCATGGTACTACTGTAGGTGACCTTATCAAGTAACATGGCCTTCGTCGTGCAAGACACTAAAGGGAAGTTCTGCTTGTGCTGTGACCCTCGACGTCATATTACGTGTGGATAGTAATGGACATGACATCTGGTATTATGTATCGAAGGTTTCCCGTGGTCCGTGGATGACTTACAGAAGTAGCTAGCATGAGCTCGCTCCAATAATAGCTGCCATTAACCCGTTTCATGGTTTTCGGGTCGGGTCCATTGGATTCACAGTTTGGGACTCTATTCATGATGTAGCGAGGTACGAGCGAAAAATAGAGTACGATCTTCGAGCGAACAAAGACACGGCATCGAACCTCTTGCTTTCGTCCCGCGACCATCGTCCATTGCTGCGCAGTCATTCCTCCAAACACTGACACAGCAACTCAGTTGGATCCTGAGGAAACCCAAGTTACCTAGTCACAGCGAAACTACCCCACCCGCCCTCGCAGCTCAACTCTTTCTTAATCTAGGTCTTCTTCTTCGGAGCCGAAAGCTCAACGTCACCCCACCCATAGTTCACTTCACACTGACCAGCACCTAGTACGGACAACATCATTCTTGGTTTAAGAAGCCTCCGACTAAACAAAGCAATCCATACGCCAATCTACTCGACAGCTGCATCGCTAGGATATGCAGATCCTAATGCGGAACGAGCTTAGGCAGAAGCTCAGGAAGAAGACGGCTGCCATTGGATTAGGAGAATCACAAGACCTGGGACTTATTCCCATCAAGCTACGACGGAACTGCAGCTCGCTTCATCGAAGATTACTGGATGCGCTACCTGCCGATGTGAGGGTGAAGATCCACGCAGGGTTTCAACCGGTAGCCGACGAACCCGCACCTGGTGGCGTGAAAGTAGACTCTGGACGGGATGGGCGGTTACGCGGCCTAATAATCACAGCATGTGAAGCATCGTCAGAATCTCCCTTGTACTTTACTACAGGCTACTTGTTTTGATCAGTGACTGCACGTTTGGATTAAAGGTCTTGCTAAACAACCCCTCGAAGACACACCGGTTTGAAAATAACGTCAGATAATGAAGTACCTCTTTGTATTCGCTCAATCACATGAACAGTTTAGTGTGCTAGAGCTCTCGATATCTGAGCCTCATGGTTTTACGATAGGCTTTCATCAATACGACAACAACCTCGACAAGGCTATCAAACGACCATTCGTGATCCTGATGCTGGACAAAGAAGAGCAGGCACATATTTTGGCTCAGAGATGCATCCTGATAAAATGTGTCTATAACATTCACTGTCTGCTCGAGAGATGCCTAATCAGTTCTACGCCAAGGGCGCATCCCACGAGGTGCTGCATGAACAAAACAGCCAAGCTCGTTCGCAATGGGAGCGATACGTCTCATCGTTCGCGGCATAGCGGAAGACACCGAATCAGCAGCAATAGAAAAAGCCCTAGCAAATGAAGACTTGGAGCCTACTCGGACAATTCCATGTTGGACGGAAGTGTAGGGGGTGCAGCCGTCTTAATGAGAGAAAGCGAGGTGATAGGCAGCAAGAGATTCCAGCTGGAACGCGCGGTGTATGACTCGGAGGCAGAGACGAGTTGTGGGTGCGGCTACTAGAGAGGGATGGAGGGGGGCTCTATGTCCGCAAGCATCGTCCATCAAACAGCGATAAAGGCCACGACGGCATTTCGGTTGCAACTAAGGCATTATCTGATGGATCTGTTCCATTATGATCTCAGAACGCTAGTTCCGGAGGACGAACAATCGGAAACTGATCATCAGGTGGACACCGAGACACACGAGCATTGTGGGAAACGAGGCGGCAGACGAACGATGAGGATGCGAAAAGGGAAGTGAGCGGAGAATCATCAGAAGCTCGAGAACTCCCCAACTTGAATTTGCTCCTGCCAAGGCGGGGAGAGATCCGAGCGCTACCGCCGAGCAAGTCGGCACTAAAGCAGCGCGTCAACAAGGACATGAAACCCATCACGGAAAATTCACCACTGCCGCGTTCTACTTCGCTCGCGATTGACTTCCACAGCCCGGCCTTCGGGAAGATTCGTGACAATGATCGAGACGCTCCCTGGGCGCTACAACTCACTGCTGTTCCAACTTCACACCGGTCACGTCCCACTCAACCAATACCTACAAACCATGATGAATCAGTCACTTCTCGTTAGTCTGTCCGGTATTCGCCAACCACCCAGAAGCACTTTCGCGCAGAAGTTGGACCCCACCAATGCAACGTCAAATATTTGCTGAGCGGACGCAAAAGAATGAGGGCAGCCCTTACATTCATCGCAAGTATGAGAAGACCGGGTATGGTGTGACAGGACGTGAGGCCCAAAGGAAAAGGAGATCAAGGAGAGGTAGACGAGCAGGAAAGATGCACCCCCACTCCTTTCCATATCGGGCGGCTGAAGAAGGCCCCACCCGTTTTCGCACAAGCCGGAACCACACAAGGCTTCGGACGGCGGAGAACACGCATAAATAAAGTGCATTAGCTAACTAACGGCATTCTCGGGACGGAAGACATTGCACGAGTCGCGAATCTTCATGGGGATCGAGTTCACGGTGTATGAGGCTGAGATCGTGGGGGTGATTCAGCACACGATTCACGATGGCTTCAGAATCAGAAGATGTCGAGGTTGAACAAACCTAGGACACGTTAGCCATATCGGAGATTACATAACCCGGCGGTAATATAAAGTATATATAACCTGCGCGGACATATCCGAATGATTAAGCATTCTTAGTGCCCACCCTCGTGTGCCTCTAAGTCAATTATTTTCATTCTTACTTGTGCAATCAAATATCGTATCTATCGTAATCTCAATAGGTTACGAGCCCTGTCGTATCGCATATCGACCCTCATAAATTAAAAACAAACAAAACATGCTGCGCAAATACTCCTATCTAAAATGACTGATCCTAACAACCCAAACACAAGCATGGTTGTTGATCCTCATGCCTCTTCGCGTCCCGCCATTAACCTTGGACCTGTCACGTCGTATAAAATTGAGGCCCTAAATGATATAAACTAGATAACGTGGAAGGAAAGGATAGAAACCATCCTTAACCTTCACGGAGTCCATGGGCACATTGATGGGACCTGTAAAAGGCCCACGACGGACAAGGATGAGATCACATACTGGGATAAACAACATTATGTGGCATGGACACTCATCTTGAATAATATCAAGGATGATAAAGTAGTCCATGTGTCACGTGCGAAGAACATAAAGGAGGCATGGGAGAATCTAAAGACAATCCATGAGACAAGGAGTCAGTCGAGTGTGTTAATGGCGAAACGCACCTTTTATGCTATGCAAGCTGAAGAAGGCTGTGATATTACAGAACACATTACTGAGATGGTGAATAAGTGTAACCAACTCGACACCATGGGGTGCGAGATCCCAGACGCAGAGTTCAAAGCCATTCTCATAATGTCGTTACTGAAATCGTGGGGAACTTGGACTGCATCCTATTTAGGGGCACATGCTGAGAAAATTGAATCCGACAAAATAAAAGGATATACTTCCCAGGAGTTAATCTCCATCATCCTCGACGAGTATAAACGTCGCAAAGGTGAGGACACCCAAGAGAAAGGCTTCTACGCCAAGACTGAGAGGAGCGGAAAGAAAAGGAAGATCGAGAAGCACGTGGAGATGCCTAAGAGCCGAGCTAAGTGTACTGTCTGTGGACGAAATAATCACGCCACAGATGACTGCCGGTTCAAGGGCAAGCCGAAGTGTATGTCTTGCAGGAAAGTTCAGACACGAGACTAAAGATTGCTGGGGGAAAGCGGGACCATCATCCCAAAAGCCATGTCAGCAGAAAGAGTGTGCCAATATTGCGAGAGATCCGCAGGAAGACGAGCCTATGGATGAGGATAAGGCTTATGTAACCAAAAATATATCTGTGAATGAAGACGCTGATGAGCGTGTTTCCTTTTACTTGTGGGTGGTTGATACAGCTACCACATCCCACATTATGAGCCAACGAACCATGTTTGAAGAGTACCGTCCAATAAGCGGTGGCACCATAATCGGAATTGGAAATGTGCCAATAAAAGCACTAGGCTGTGGATCAGTAAAAATACAAACATGAGTCAAGGACAAATTGAAGATGGTACAATTGAGAGACGTACTGCATGTTCCAACAGCAGTAAACAACCTCATATCAATCAGCTGATTAGACGAGCAAGGGGGAAGAGCCCGATTTGACAATGGACAAGTCACATTGCTCGATCAGAACCGACGGACCATAGCAACTGGACGCTGTGTAAATAGATTATATATCCTAGACGCCAAGACCATTCAGCCTCGAATTGAGTCAACAAACAAAGCAAATGACTCACTTACTTGGGAAGAGTGGCATAAACACTATGGACATATTGGCATCACGGGATTACAACGACTGGCAAAACAACAGTTAGTAGATGGTTTTAACATAGATCAAAGTTCACCTATTCCAGAGTGCGAAGCGTGCATTGAAGCTAAACACTCTTGAAATCCGTTCCCAAATCAAGCTGAAAATAGAGCTCGAGTACCAGGTGAACAAACACACACAGATGTTTGGGGACTAGCTCGAACAACGGCCATAACGGGGGCGAGATATTATGTTAGTTTTGTCGATGACTGCACAAGAAGGTGTGTCATCAAATATATGAAAATGAAGGATGAAACCACCGAAAAGGTGAAAGAATACCTATCCTATGTTGAGCGGCACTGGGAAAAACTCCCCAAACGTATTCGCACCGATAACGGTACAGAATATATAAATAATGACCTAAAAAACTGGTGTCAGCAGAAAGGGATAGAGTTAGAAACAACTGCACCATATTCTCCCTCGCAAAATGGTGTAGCAGAACACTTCAATAGAACATTAATTGAGTTGGCACGAGCAATGTTATTAGCTCATGACTTACCTAAGTTCCTATGGCCTGAAGCGGTGACTCACGCAGCATATTTACACAGTCGAGCGCATACACGAGCACTCGAAGAGAATACACCTGAAGGAAAATGGTCAGGAACACGACCAAATGTGTCTCACCTGCAGGAATTTGGTGTACCTGTGTGGATATTAAGAGATGGTCAAAATATATCAAAACTTGAAGCGAAATCAGAAAAACATACATTTGTCAGCTTTCTAGATGGGCCGAAAGCCATAAAATATTACGACGTGCGCACAAAACAAGTGAAATCATCTAGAAATTATTGCTTCCTACAAATAAAACCCCAAGAAACAATCACGCCAGATATGCAGCGTGAGGGGGAGTGGGGAGAGATTGACACACCACAATCTGATGAAGATGTTGGAAGATTCGATGGTGGACAGACCAGTGAAGCTGGTGAATCAAGTGTTAATCTAAAGTGGAAGCGAGAACAGGACGAAATCATACCTGATGAACCACGAAGAAGCACCAGAACAAAAATAAAGCACGATTATCGAGTGCTAAATGATCCGCCAGAAGAACTAGCTGAACTGGTAGATGATCCTGACAAAGGAGAGGTTACATCATCAGCAGCCGAAATGATATTTGCCGCTGTAGGGATTCATTTCTGGTTGGGCTTGTAGAGACTGTTTTTACCTTACCTTATGTTGGCACTTTTGTAGCTTACATAATCAATCAATCTTTTCACCAGTTACCAGTATGAGTCAGAGTCCTCAGTAGTTTTTATGATATTTCCTCTCCTCTGAGACTTGAGCCTAGTCCAGAAACCCTTTAGGGTCGAATAGCAGCTAGGTTCTGCAAGACCCAACACATTGTTCAGACTCACCATCTGAATTGTTGTACCTTCACCGCGTTCAATGAGCGCGGTATTGCTCTGGATGACCCAAAGTCACTAAAAGAAGCGAAGACATCCCCAGATTGGTCACAGTGGGAGAAGGCTGTGAATACTGAGCTAGAACAACTCAATACTATGGGAACCTGGGAGTTAGTAGACCCTCCAGAAGAAAGAAAACCCATAGGGAACAAATGGGTTCTAGTCTGGAAGTACAATAAAAATGGGGAGCTTGTTAAGCATGATTAGTAGCGAAAGGGTACTCACAAATACCGGGGATGGACTATGATGACACTTTCTCACCCGTCATGCGTCTTGAAACGATCCGCACAATACTAGCATTGGCTGTATCAGAAGACTGGGATATACAACAAATGGACGTGAAAGGTGCTTACCTAAACGGTATCCTAAAGGAAGAAGTCTTCATGAAACAGCCGGAAGGATTTGAAGATGGAACAGCGAGAGTGTGCCGCCTAATAAAAACATTGTACAGCCTCAAACAATCTGGTTGTGAGTGGAATATCGAGCTAAATAAACAGCTCGAAGCAAAGGGATTCAAAAGACTAATTAGTGACCCATGCGCGTACATAAGAAAAATGGGAGACAGAATAGAAATAATTACCGTGTGGGTTGATGACCTACTCCTGTTTACGAAGAGTACAGCGCTAATGGTGAAGTTAAAATGTGAGTTACAAACAATGTTCGAAGTCACTGACCTCGGTGATCCAAGTAAAATTGTTGGTATTGAAAT